CTTTAGTCTTAGATACATTTTTAATACTTGCTATTGGCTTTGAACTAGCTGTCAGTAACTGCGAGTACTCTCAGATCTGTACTTAGTGTCTTTTTTGTTGTAGGGGTGTATAAATTCCCTTTCACATCCGGTCTGTGTTTTTGTTACTTGTATTTCTGCTTGGTATCGATGAGTTAAGCCCTTTTCAACTGATTTTTATCGTTTGTTCATATGTTGTACTGTTACAACACTGTCCCGGTTTAGGGGAGGGATGGGCACCCCCTAATATTTTAACCCTGCCACATTCTGTATGTGCCTCTTCCAAGTCAGGAGCCTGTAAGTCAGTGGTTGTCGTATGTTGCTGTATATCATATTTGTATTTCGTTCATTGTTTTTACATAAGTTTTCTCGGTTGAATTGTTTTACATTTGTCATTTCGAGGCCTTTCATAGCTGACTATGCGGTATGGATTTTGCTCATTATTGAAGGCCGTACGGTGACCTATAGTTGCCAACTTCTATATCATTTGGTCTCCGGTGGAGAGTTGTCTCAGCTGGCAATTATATCACATCTTATTTTTATACTTATAATTTCTATTGACTCATGTTTCAACTCTATATTGTTTATTTAATAAGCAAATGAAATATGTTCAAACTATTTATAAAATCATTTGAAATAGTTACAATAATAATCAATTTCATATTCTAACCAAAATAATAGTTTCATTAGATATTATACTGTGTTACATTGTCACATCACCGAATGATACTTATTACTGACTTGTACTTATCATGAGCGACAAGATCGGTACCAGTAGGGTAGCAGGATCTGCTTATCCTTCCGGAGCACCTGAGATCATCCCCATTTTTTGAGAGGTTCGTTTTGCTCAGTTTTTGCATTGCTTTAATGTAATGCGTTATGGACTATTTTGTCTACTAACATTTTCGGCATGTTTTTACTTATTTGTAGATCTTGTATTGTTGATCATTTTTGCTATTTAAAGTGTCTATCTATCTGTTATAGTTTTCAAGACGAAAGGGAAAAAACCGAAAATATTGGTAAAAATCGTCATTAAAGAGCAAGAACTCTCATTAGGAGTCGACTGGCGATTTCGACCACGTTGACTTATTTGTAGATCTGGTCTTGCTATTAAAAGTAGATATCTATCTATAATAGTGTTCAAGATAAGAGGCAAAAACGCAAACTTAGTAATTGTTAAAATTGTCATTAAAGGGTAATGACTCCAAAAAGTAACGTCAGACGATTTTAACCATGTTGAATTATTAGTAGATCTTGTCTTGCTGATCAAGTTTATTTATTTAAGTTTCTATCTATTTATTAAATAGTTTTTTCAGATATTAGGCAAACATGCCAAAAATTGGCAAAAATCGTCATTAAAGGGCAATAACTCCAATAAGAGGTCGTCTGACGATTTCAAAAGAAAGGCGAAAGATACCAAAGGGACATTCAAACTCATATATCGAAAATAAACTGACAACGCCATGGCTAAAAAAGAAAAAGACAAACAGACAAACAACAGTACACAAAACACAACATAGAAAACTAAAGACTGAGCAACACGAACACCACCAAAAACTGGGGGTGATCTTAGGTGCTCCGGAAGGGTCAACTGTTCAGATTTATTTGTAGGTCTTGTCTTGCTGATCATCTTTGCTAATTTATAAGTTTCTCTCTATCTATTATACTTTTTCAGATATTACGCAAAAACGCAAATAATCTATAAAAGTCGTCATTAAAGATCAATAACTACAATGAGGAGTCGTCGGACGATTTCGACTTTATTGACTCATTTGCATAACTTGTCATACTGATCATTTTTACTGTATAAAGTTTCTATCTATTTATCATAATTTTCAAAATGATAGGCAAAAATGGAAAATAAATGGTAAAATTTGTCATTTCAGGGCAATAACTCCTATAAGAAGTCGATTGACAGTTTTGATGAAAATAGACAATCGTTGGTAGATCTCATAAATTCTGCCCCTGTCAGATTTTCTGTATTTATAGAAGTTTTCAAGAAAATAGACAAAACTTGCATTTTACTCCTTTGTTCTATTTTTAGCCATGTTGGCCATGTTGGTTGGCAGGCGGGTCATCAGACACCTTTTTATACTAGATACCAAAATAATGATTGTGGCCAACTTTAGTTAAATCTGGCCCAGTAATTTCAGAGGAGAAGATATTTGTCATGCTGATCATTTTTACTGTATAAAGTTTCTATCTATTTATCATAATTTTCAAAATGATAGGCAAAAATGGAAAATAAATGGTAAAATTTGTCATTTCAGGGCAATAACTCCTATAAGAAGTCGATTGACAGTTTTGATGAAAATAGACAATCATTGGTAGATCTCATAAATTCTGCCCCTGTCAGATTTTCTGTATTTATAGAAGTTTTCAAGAAAATAGACAAAACTTGCATTTTACTCCTTTGTTCTATTTTTAGCCATGTTGGCCATGTTGGTTGGCAGGCGGGTCATCAGACACCTTTTTATACTAGATACCAAAATAATGATTGTGGCCAACTTTAGTTAAATCTGGCCCAGTAATTTCAGAGGAGAAGATATTTGTCATGCTGATCATTTTTACTGTATAAAGTTTCTATCTATTTATCATAATTTTCAAAATGATAGGCAAAAATGGAAAATAAATGGTAAAATTTGTCATTTCAGGGCAATAACTCCTATAAGAAGTCGATTGACAGTTTTGATGAAAATAGACAATCATTGGTAGATCTCATAAATTCTGCCCCTGTCAGATTTTCTGTATTTATAGAAGTTTTCAAGAAAATAGACAAAACTTGCATTTTACTCCTTTGTTCTATTTTTAGCCATGTTGGCAATGTTGGTTGGCAGGCGGGTCATCAGACACCTTTTTATACTAGATACCAAAATAATGATTGTGGCCAACTTTAGTTAAATCTGGCCCAGTAATTTCAGAGGAGAAGATATTTGTTAAAGTTAATGACGACGGACGACGGACGCCAAGAGATGAGAAACGCTGACTTGGTCCTTTGGATCAGACCAAAGGACCAGATGAGGCAGAGCAAAAAAGATGGTAAGGGGACGACCATTTGATATTCTGGGGGGGGCCAGGAGGATTTTGAAAATAAGTAACTCAGCCTTGATAATCACCAAAATAAATGGTTTGTTCTGTGGTAGTTAGAAAATAAATAACCTGACCTACAATGTATTGAAAATGAATAACTCGGCAGGTCTTTAAGCCAATTTATAAATGCTATTCCAAAGTATGAGGTGGCACCAGATTCTTCATAAAATTCATCTTTTTTCAAAAAAAAATCGGGAAACACTTCCCAAATCTTTTAATAATAAAGGTATAAATATTATTTAAATATACTTGAAATGTCTGAAAATGGGTTTCATTTAACTTGAGGTATATTGGCTCAGGAACACTTACCTCACTTTTATTACAGGGCTGTAACTACATTGAGGCAAATGCCTTTATGTAGGAAATTTTAAAACCAAAAGCTTGTCTTAATTCATATCAAATTGTTTTCACAGCGAGTGTTTGCAAGAAGCAAGTTCTGTTCTCCCTTGGACGTAGCACCTGTTTTTTCTGGATCAATGATTCTTTAAATTTGTCTTTTGTTCATTGATTGCCCTTCTGTATTCTCTTAGTGTTGCATTCCTTTTGTGATTTAGTAATTTTGTTTTCAACTTGATCATGAGTTTTATTTGATTCAAGACTTTTTAGCTAATTTTACAACTTAACTACTTTAAATTGTATCCCAGTTAAGAGCTACATCAAGTTGTAATTGAAATGTGTTATTAAAAATTACTTGACATAGTTATATCACTGATAATCAGCCCCCTCTTACCTTAATTTGAATAAAACCCCATATAATTTACAGGTATAAAAGATCTAAATTCTGCATGCCGAAACAACAAAAAAAAACAAAAAAAACCAAAAAGACCAGCAGCCACATACTTAACTATGTGAATTACATTTTTACTTTATTCTTCATATTGGTCTTTTGATGTTGTCCATAAAAACTTATGTCTTACGCTGAATCTATACATTTTGCTTTGAGACCAAAATATTGTCAAAAAATTATTAAAACAGAACTTGCGTTTTAAGAATAAGAAAGGGTCTGGGAACGCCCAGAAAGCACGATTTTGCATCATTTGTTCTATAGTTTCTTTGGGCCTTCAGCGGCTTCAAAACCCTTCAAAATATTTTTGCCTCGCTCCGCTCGGCGTAAATATATTTGGCAATACTTTTAAGAGAGGCTAGTCACAGCCCAACTCTAATACCGTGTATGTATGCAATACATGTATATGCAGTTTGGAATTCAGAAGATTCATTTCCGCAGAGGATGATGATTAATTCTGATTAAATGGTACATTAATGACTTGACTGTACATGTATTATTTATAATAAAAAATGAATTTAAAAAGTGTATGTTTTCAAATATTTTTAATATAGATATGAAAATAAATAATCAGTCCCTTGTTTTAATGAAAATGAAAAATCTTGCTTCAACAGTGCAGAAAATAAATAATCTGTCCTCTTAGTTTACCAAAATAAATAACCGATCCAAAACAAATCCTCCTGGCCCCCCCCCCCCCCCCCCCCCCCCCCCCCCCCCCCCCAGAATATCAAATGGTCGTCCCCTAACACTTTCATGTAATAACTTATTTTTAAAAAGTTTTTTCTTCATTTACTTTTTTTTCAATATTAACACATATAAAACTTTTTAATACTTACCTCAACTTATCTGGGGGTATTGACATTTCGCAATTGTGTATAAAAAACAGATTGTATTGACAATCTATAAATTATTAAACCGTTATCTATGCCATAATGGTGAATTATAGTCATTTCGTACCCTTGGAGAAATTACAATTAGGGCAAAATATAAAAATGTGGACTACTATTTCAAATAATTGATGACATGTGTTTTTTCCGAAATTTTAAGTGGAATTTTGTAAGAGATATGGTTAGCAGACGAATACACAACAACCGGTTTATCAAAGTACTCAACCAATCAAAGGTATTGTGACATTTTCATACCTATATACCGGAAATAAAGACACACCTGGAAGAAATTGTGGAAGATATATATATCGTTATCATGGTAAGAATACGAATATTAATCTATATAAAAAGTTTTCGATAAATAAGTCCACAAACTTGTGAAATAAACAGAAATATATACACAAAGAAGATATCAAAGTAAATTATTTACCTGTAGCGACTTACCTTTATCAATATAATTATATTTGATCTCATTGAGTCATTATTTACCTTATCAGTTTATACATGTACTGCAATCATTCAGTTACCTGCATTAAACAGTTATGTACTTAAACCAGGTAAACCCTGCTATATTCATTGATATCTATTTTTTTTATATTTGTAGTCGAAGTTTTCACAGCAGCAGCTCGAGGGTAAGTTCTTGCTGGGACTATTATACTAAGTCAATATATTATGTCACAGGTACTTGTATTTTGGACAGGTTGAACTGTTGGAGTTATAATGCAAATTTGGGATTTATTTGTATGAATAGTTTGGGATTAATAACACCATTTTTTTTTGGCCCATTTGAAAATCAAAAAGTATTCTAAATGATTAATCTACCAAATAACATGGTCAGACATCACTATGATCAGTATCTATATTTTTTGAAATAAGAAGAAAAAATATTGACATGGGTTTCAAACTTATTGAATTTAGTGCAAAAATGCAAAAAATACCAAAATAGCCTCATTTTGAGATAATTAATAACACATTATTTCAATTCAATTCTATTCAATATTTATTGGAAAGAACACAATAGAGGCGTGATCCAAATGCAGAAAATAATATATTCAACAACATATAAATGAAATATAGAACCATGTAACAATAAGTCATAAGTAAATTTTATGGATACCATAACATTCAGAACTCATAATGATACCATACACATCATGCACATATACAGCATGATTATTCTAAGTTTTCATAATTTTTCTTAAAAAACACAATCACCTATATAAGATATATGTGTATATGCACAAGCGACTATAAAGGATTATTATCCGATGAAACAGTATGGTGGTCTCTCAAATTAAGAGCTATTTAGATATGAGCCAGGCTTTTCCCAAAGTAGGAATTTATTCAGTTTAAAGAAAAATGTTACTATCATGACTATTGATCTTTACAAATGTGTTCTTAAATATTTTCTTTAAAATCTAAATTTGTATATTTTTGTTTGCCCTTTGACTTTGTACGACAAACAGATTTTGTCAAAAATTTGACAAAGAAAAAATTAAAAGACTATCAGTCATGTACAGCAAGGCATTTTATTATGTCTGTTCTGTACAGTTAATTTGATTCAAATATAAAGAGTGATCACAAGGATAAATAATTTGATATAAAAATGTGTGACAAATTTTAACCATTCATATACTTTTTTGTGTTTTTTTTTCTTGAAGTAGTGAAAATATCATTACTGTTCTTCTTTCCCCACTATTTTCTACTATTTTCTAATAACATGTTATACTTGGAAAACAATTTTGAATAATGTTACTGATTGGAGAGTAAAAACAAATATATAATGTACAAAAGATTTTACAGATCACTGTATGTACTTCTTCTGTGAGAGTAAACAATCTTTTTTATTTTTAGGAGTTAATATATTTGAGTAATTCTGATATACAAGTTTTTTTTACAGAGCTGAAAGAAGCATTTATTATATTTGACAAAGACAATGATAAGAAAGTCAACATGAAAGAATTAGCAACTATTATGAGGTCCATTGGCTTTAGTCCTACTCAGGCAGATTTACAGAACATTGCTCAGGAATATGGAGCTTCCCATGGTAGGTAATGGTTCACAGAAAACAAATATTGAATACCATGGTTACCATTATATGTACATCCCAGCCTAAGTTCCTAATAACATAATAATAATATAACCATACAAGGGTTTGTAACTTCAGGTAGACAGTATCACTTGGTTGAAAAGTACACTTCTCATGTTCTTGATCAAATTTTAAAGATTTCAGAGGTCAGTAAGGTATAAGTGTTAATGACAGTTTATATACTGAAATTGTTATCAACTCCAAAATTGGACATAGGACATACATGTAATGCGACAGATCCAGATCGCAATGTATTATATCAAACTTGTCACAAAAAACACATTGTGTTGCTTCAGAGATGTTTAGATTTTTCTGTACTCAGAGGTGAATGCTGTTATAAATGTATAAAATATCCTTTATTCCCAAATTGTAATTTGTTTATAAACTGTCATATTTTTCTTTTCTTTGTTTAGATAAATTACAAACAGGTTCTAATATTTTCCCAAATATGTATTTTAAAACTCCATGCCATATTGTTTTGTAAAATCTTATTTTTTCCCTAATAGGTAATAAATTGTTTGACTTCAATGAAACACAGAGTATTATTTCAAAACGTGCACCTCCTCCAGAAAAAGAAGACACAATCAGGGACTGTTTCAGAATATTTGACAAGGATGGAAATGGTTATGTCAGTGCTTCAGAACTCAGACATGTATTGACAAATTTGGGAGAACGTCTGACAGATGAAGAGGTGGATGAAATGATTAGGGAGGCTGATATAACTGGTGATGGACAAGTAAATTATGATGGTGAGTGTATGATCTCATTTCCTGATTTTTAAGACTTTGGAAAAAAATTAAGTACTGGAGGGGCTTATCACAATCTGTCTTATAAATCAGAACTGTATGGTATTTTGTTTCGTAGTCTGATAGAAATATAAAAATAAGGAGATGGGGTATGATTGCCAATGAGACAACAATCCATTCAAAGACCAAAGGAACAAGATGTGAAAAATTACAGGTAACTGAGCGACTTTCAACTAAGAGCAAAAAAAGCCCTTACATTACAAAATGTGTATCAATTCAATAGAGAAGACCACAGTTTTCTTCAAGAAACTTGGCTAGTTCAAAATGATCATTACATTTTATGTATTTTAAAAAAAAATATTTTAAATGCTCAATGAGGCGTCATTGATTGATCATTTCATAAAGCATAAATTAATATTATGACAAGGGTAATAACCCTGTAGAGTGACTGTAATTTCAGTTAACATGATTTGTTTTTGTTTTTCAGAATTTGTAAAAATATTAACAACTGGAAGATAACTTATCTACAAACCTTGACATTACATATTATAGTGGTTGTGTTCTATGCAGATTAGATACTACACATTTGACCAATGGGATGTATGCAAAACATTTTACAGCTGCATTGTTTCAATAGGCATAAATCTTTAATGAATTCCATTCAGCTTTACAACTGTTTTTAAAATTATACACAATTTTTCTGAGGTGAAAAACAAGATCTGTATTTATTGCATTGTTTTTATATATATTTTACTTTATTAATCATTAAATATACAAGACATTTACTGCTTTTTTACATATTGTTCATAATCTCTGTTACTCAATAAAGTAACCCCATGTGACCCCAACTTAAACTAGTGGTAATATGGAATATGTGGAAGGATTAGCATTTTAACATCTATAGTATATCCATGTCAGTTGAACTCGGATGGATACATGTAATTATCTCATAGGCTATCATTCCACATCTCCTTATTTTAATACTGTACTTATTGTTGTCCAGTATGCTGTATATGTATTATTTTGCGAGTACTTATTTTCACAAGTTTGATTTTGCTGATAAATTTGTGTGTATTTAATTTCGCGGTATTTCCTTAAATATCAAAACATAAACGACGGACTTCTAATATTTAAATGTCTTTATTTGTTAAACAATATGAAAGAAAATTAAATAAATGAATATCATTCAATCATCAAATCACTCTTTTGTTCTTCAGAGGTTTAATTACCCGATAAAGTTGTTAATTACATAATAAATCTGTCATATTTGGCTTGGAGTATTAATTGTTACCTTTTGTTTATTTATTCTTGATTGAATTTCTGCCAGACATTTCACTTCATAAATATAAGAAATTTAGAACAAAAAAAATTGTATAGCCAATGAATTATAGTAGAATTGATTGGTAAGTAGAGATCAACTCAGGACTACACTACCATTAACTAGCCAGAACCGGGCGAATTACTCGGGGTGTAAAATCAAATAAAATATATTTATTTTAAAAACATACTCTTTTTTCTTACTTTTTAAAAATACTTTCCTAATTCATATAAAAGTATCACAGGAAATTTCGCCCAAACGTCCTATTTGAAAATCCAGGTAAAGTTAATATTCCGGCGTTAAAATGTCCTATGATGTCGTTGCTCAAATGACCCTATGTGCATTTTTTATTTTCCCTCAAATGTCTTATGCCCATTTCTGTGTATATGTAAGGCAGACAAGGTGAACATGCATATACAGTTTTATATTTCAGTATAATTTCACCTTATATAAGAATGCCGGATTTTGATTGGTTGTTAGCCAGTGTATTTTTCGCATATTCTAACATTTTGTCCTCATTTCAAACGAATTTGCCTGTTTTTTCACCACTGCCGGTGAATTTGCCTCAAATTCCCCTCTCTGCCGTGGTATTTGCCATTTTGGATATTCCTTTTTTACCCTCGTGAGCCTGTTCCCGCCAAAATTATTCGGACCCTTTCTCACTTTATCCCGACAACATGGTTAAGCACTATTGATTGAGTTAAAACGAAAACTGTCAGAACTATACATATAAAGAGGGGAAAAAGGTCTATACAAATGAATGATTTAATGATGGAATAACAATGACGTTTACACATATAGATACCATGACGTTACAAAAAGACAGCACTAATGCATATAAGTACATGTATAATTCCCACGGTACTACGATTTCCCTTCACATGTACAGACAGTTTCAATCAAAATCTATTCGGTGTAATTAAACAGATATATCATGTTATGGAGGGGTATTTGCGAAAAAATACCAGTCTTGGGACCAAATTTCCCTCGACTAGCTGCTTGGGAAATTTCACCGTCCCTTGACTGGTATTTTTAGCAAATACCCCTCCATAACATGATATATCTGTTCAATATTTATTCAATGATTTTGATACTGTTGTGGTCTGCATTTGTATTCATGTGTATTTATTTTAGCGAAAATATACATACCACGAAATTTGTGAAAACAGATACACTGCGAAAATAAGTACATAAACAGTCTTTTTACTGGAGGATACTGGTGATGATGTGGTCCAGCATATTTGTGATTTTGCGGCCAATGTTCTTGCATTTTTGTACTTCAGTAATGTAACTTTATTTTGTGCTACAGTGTATCTGATTGTTAAAACACATTTCAGCAATTTTTGGTCAAAAAGCTTAGTAATAAAGATGTCACAGATTTTTGAAGGAGATTAAAAATAGATATTTAAATTTTATCAGCTTAAGTAGATATGTTGTATAATTATATGACTATGAATTTTCTGTTTTCTCATTGGCTTAAAGCATAGGAAATCCTCTTTGATAAAACATTATATTCACCATGGCTAAAATCACGAGAGGTCAATATAAGATTTGGAACAGCGTTTTTAGTCAACTTTATTGAATATTTCAACTTATGAAAATTAGCAACTGCAAAAGCAGATAATATATTTAGTTTAAAAACAGGGAGCAGTTTCAGAAGTATCGTGAGCAAATACTAGAAAATTGGTGAAGGATAAAAAGTCATATAAGAAAACAATTGTTGACTTTTGATTTCAGTCTATAAATCGTATCAACCTCATCAAAAGTCAATAATTGTATAATATCAATACCAGTACACAGATATATGAGCAAACAAATGATTGCTAAAATGTAGCTTTGAATGTTTCCTTTGCTCTTCAAAACTCCAAACAAAATTTAGCAGGGATTTAACACCAAACTGATAAGTTGGACATTGCTTGAAAGATGGACCATGGTTTACTTCAAACTTGAGAACCCTTCATATACCTCTGCAAGAAATGAACAGACTATATAAATTAATTGATTGTTGGTAGTTAAAGCAACATTAAGCGTGCTTGGCTTTATCATGGTGGTGGAAGCTGAAGTAAAGACTATGTGAGGCCAACAAGTCTACCAAAACCTGTCCCATTTATAAAGGGGCATAACTCTAGAATGGTAAAAGTGATGACACCAAAATACAAACTTTGATCTGTGTTTTGTGGTATAAAGCATTGTGTATAATTTTCATAACATTTGGTTGAAGCAAACTAAAGTTAGGGAACAGAAACTAATTTTGGGACGTACGTACAGACAGACAAGGGTAACACTTTATGCCTCCTCTGACCCGGAAGGGGCATAATAAGGCAAGGATAATTAAATAATTATTTTTAAAGTGATGAATTAGCTAATGTAGCTTGGGTCCATATGATTCAATAGGAAGTAATGTCAAACAGTTCTATTCAAATATTCTTTTATTACCTTTTCCACTCATAATCACTATTTCAACAAAATACAATTCATGGTATTGCTATACAAGTGAATACATAATACAAATAACATAAATCCCCATTTATACAATATAGCAAATCAATGCTACAACCATATTAGACATTACCAATAATAAATTCTGAATGCATTAATATACAGCCAATGATGACAATTCATTCAAATATTTCTATAATACATGATTCATAATGGTTAAAAGATTGCACAACAAATCAGTTAAGAAATGATTTAACAATTTTGTATGTAATGCTGAATTCAGCAGAAGAGAAAGGAATTTTTTATAACCATCAATGTAAAGTATTAAGTATTTTTTTAAAACTCAATCTTTGAATAAACATAGAAGGAAATATTTAGTGATTGTTTAGCTCTAGCAAGTACATAGACATTGACAAGGTGTGAGCACAAAGTTCACCCAATACTCCCTTTAGCTGTAAAAGTATGTGTAAATTCATACTGCAGTTGAAGAATTCAAAAATAACTTGAAAGCATTTAGCACATTGACCATCTACTATTACCAATATCTATTCGTAAACAAAAACCAATTCACAAACGTAACCCTATATGCTTCATTACCATTCTTAACTTGGTGATGGTTGTATGCAATTTCAGACAATTATTTCTCTGAGATATGAATTAAAGTCATTTAAGATTTAGATTTGACAGAAAGCTTTAGGCTCAAAGTTGTCCTGCTTACAAAAACACTCCTCCAAGGATGTTTAAATAATCATCTTCCGTATGAACAGAGATGTAAATTTGAACCAAAGGTTTATAAAACTGACCTTTTGCTTAGATACTGACATCATAAGATGAACATTTATGCAAAGTTGGTTAATAGTATATTTTGCAGTACCCAAACATTTATGTAAAAAATAATACAGGTGGTTTTATTATGACTGACCTTTCTTTGTTAAATACTAAAATATTCATTAAGATCTAATTTCAAATTTTCTCCAATACATATACTAGATAAACTTGATAAAGTAATTAACTGCCTATTTGTTTTGGGGTAGCACAAAAAGAAAGAATCGAAATAAATGAACATTGTCAGAATCTGTAGGAAGAACTTATACTATAAATTGAATAAACGTATTTAATGACCGTCAATACATATTTAAAAGTGTACCAATAATACATGTCTACACCAGGGCTGTCTTAATCTCACTGTAAAAAAGAGTTCTGCGATATCCTTGAAGACCTTTATCAACTGTTCAGACAAAGTATGAACATCAGTATTATATATAATGTAAGCGATAATGTTCAAAGACAATGTTAAGGTATGAAATCAAGTAAACACAAATGAAATCTGTACCCACAAACAACTAAAACTGGCATCCATGGAATAACATAACTTACAGGGTAAATAACATTTAATGACATATGTACATTACTGTTTTACAGTGTCAATGAACTAGGATACACCAATTATATAATATTAACAGTGTCATGGCAGTGCTTGTAAATTATAAATAACACACATGTCTACCTGTTGCAAGATCTTTCAAATGTGCATTTACCAGTCATTCATGCACGAAATGTAGGTCAAGTTGAATTAAATGTTAATATTATATGAGAAATGAAAGGTTGAGTCACATGACATATTCAGATAGATAGACCATATCTCTACTATTTGTATTGATAAAATGGTTATTCCCCTAGAGGTATGATATTACTGGCAATTTTTTGGTCATTGGATATTCCTAATTACATGTCTTATGACAAAGTATTTGATAAACAAGAAGGTGCATAGAAATATTGACTCAATTTGAATTAATGCTGGCTTAAAGAGCAAGAGAACAGGGTTTATCAGCCAAATGTTAAAGGGAGATAACCCTTTAATTGTAGTTTAAATTACCAGGTTATCATTAAATCGTTACTGTTTTTGGTTTTATTTTGAGATATCAAATAAAGATGTATTTTTTTTAACAGTTTTGGTGAGAGGAAATTGGTATGATTAGTAATAAGGTTATTCAATCTTATGTAAATATGATAAAAAAAAATTTTTTTTTAAATAAACCAATATGGTTCAATTACAGAGAGAAATAGAAAATTGTATTTAAACTGTTATTCTAGCCTGAGATTTTTGTAAAAAAAATACACAAATAAAACACTTGCCTTTCTTCATCTTTTTACAAAAGAAAGGGTTTTCCGAGAACAACAAAATCAAGTGTTGTACTCTAAAGTGTATTTTTTTACACAAAAGTAATTTCTCTGTAAACTATGTAGTTGTACATTTATTTATGAAAAAATTAGATTAAAATTGTTCTAGCACCATTTTTGAATTCAAGGAGAAATGCTTTTTAAAGAAAACTTGTTGTTTTTAAATTAAAATATACAGTGCAAAACTTTCTTTTTTACATAGTTTACAAACTGATGAATTACAAGATGACAATTATTTAGAACATACTGATGTAAAACCATGTATGCTTCATGCTTGTCTTTTATTTACAGACTAATGATACATAAAATTATCAATAGCCATTTGATGTAAACCTGGGAACAGTATATCTAACGGGAAATGAATCTGATACGCTTTTCAGTATAAAATTGATAAAATCTCGGACTCCCCGAGACTTCCCGAGATTTACGGATTTGGTAGCGTCTGACTGAAAAACTATCAGAACTGCTCAACAAATAAACCACATAACTCTAATTGTAAATAAATACAAGTTTTATCATTTAGTAGATATATTTTGTCATATAAAATTACCAAAATAAGTTTGATTTATTTGATGTGAAGTGTTTTATAATAGTTTGGGAATTTGTAAATTATCGCGGCAATGGCCGCCATTTTTTTATTACCTGGTTTGCATTCTGCACAATTCTGTGATGAAATCCTTTCGATTTTAACAAATTTGAACTGACAGAATACAAGTTTGATACACTAGCTTCACTGTAAAACTAGTTTGAATGACATTTAATTGATAATATCAGAAATTATTAGGATAATAGCGAGTCCGTTTTTAACACATGTCCGTTTCTGTATCGTATCTTTATTAACTATGGCACGACGATAAAATCGACTACAATCAGGTAGTGTCAAGTCCCGTCAATATATATGTTCCTGTGTAAACTAAGGTCTAAACGCTTCTTTTTTTTATAATTGTAGCTTTTAATGTAATGAAGACATTATACACATAATGATAACCCTTTACATTACAATATTAAATTGAATGAATTGAAATACATGAATGACCTTGTACCACACTACTTATCAATATGCTATATATTAAATTCAAACTAGCACCTGTGATTTACTTACAAGCAATATAGATCTATTACCATCCACATATATCACTCCACACAATGGAATGTTATGTTTAAATATTGACTCAATATAATAATATATATCTTTATGAAAAACATAACAAAAGACAAAAACAATATTCATTCATGAGACAACAACATATTTTATAAGTACAAAATGTAGCTTTTTTTACTGTCGGAAAATGAAGAAATAAGTAGGTGGGAGTTATTTTAAGAATGCTGTTTTTTTAAATATTCTGAACACACATTAAAACAGTCATCTTTCGAAAGTGTTAAAAATATAAGAAAATAAAGAAGTAAGAAAGATAATTACATTAAAACATGTACATCAAATTTATATTAAATTTTTACATTGCAAGATCAAAATTTTGAAACACATTAAACCATTTTATTATCTTAGCACTATACTAACACACTCCTGTTTAAAAAAAACAACAACACTCATAAAAAAAGTATCATCAAGAAATCAGATAAATTATAAAATAAACTTGCATATAACTAATGGCACACTTTAATTTTTTTGGTTTGAAAAAAAACATAAAAAACCATTTTGTATTGATAAATGCTTTCAGGCATATACAAAACATCCAAGTCAACTAACAAATTTATTTGAAAGTGGAGGATCAGTGAACAAATTGAATTATAGATTTATTGATACCAGGAAACAAATTCTCTTCAACTTGCATAAGAAGTTATGTTAAAACATAGCTACAGAGGACTTGTTTCCCAAAATATAAGGGTCCATTTGTTACCACACTGTAAATCTAAAACAGGTGTCAAAAATCTATTATCTTTTATCTGATCAATATGCAATTAAAACATAAGGCACATTACTTCCTTTTTTGTCAGTACCAGTAGTTGCTTTTATTTCATATAAAAAAATAGATGCAAAGTACAATGGAATAAAAACACAGAAAGCACACAATAATTACTATATACCCCTGCTTTAGTAAGAAAGGGCATGCTAAATCAAGAAATATACTAAACATACAAATATTATGGCTCTACAGTGTAAAACATGACAAAGAAATTGAAACTTCATCACCTATTTTTGTTGTATATTAAGATTTTCAAAAGCCTAATGAACCTATCTCTAACACTTAAATTCCTGAAAATAGAACATTAGAAGATAAAACAACAATAAAATATCATTCTTATTCAAGCAAACCAAAATTAATGGAATTTCAACTAACAGCAATTATATCAAAGAAAGCATTTGAATATAATAATTATTTCGTAATGCATATTTACCTATACTTATTACAACAATTGCATAGATAATAACAACACAAAGTTAGGGTGAGATCAAATAACTCCTATCATTCATTCCACAAATTGTATCATCACAGATAAATTAATCACAATTATAATATTTATATTAATCTGACTCATTTTTGAGTTCAGAGTATATTAAGGTTAAGGCAATACATGCATGTATATGGACAATGACATAAATTTGTGACACAATGTTACTTAAACTGAAATTAATTTGCAGTTTTTTTATCAGCCTAGTAAGTAGCATATATGACTTGAGGAAATTTATAGTAATAATTGGTAGTAAATAATTGGTTTAACTGATGAACTCATTGATCAGGTTTAACTTTACTACCACAACTGTCTTCAGCGAAATGAAAATCATTTACAGCCTTCAATAAATTACTTCAAAAAATTAATTCCTATTCAATCAAATGTCATCTTTTCAAAGTAAAATTTCTACATATTTTTTAAGCTGTTCTCACAAATCATTAAATTTCGTTCCCTCTAAGCCCTGTTATTTTCCAGAGGCCTTATTATTAGGCATATAAGCCTGGTATCTTTGATGAGGTTTTAAATGGTTTACCTAAAGCATTGATATAGATCTGGAAATAGGCAGAGCAGATATGAACAGAAGCTGAACAAATGAAAACATAAACTTATGCTAATAAAGTTTATGATAAGTTAAGTTTTATCTTTAAGTAAATGTTCACTTACAACTAAATCTAGGCAATACAAAAATTAAAATAGAGTTTGTTTGGTGCAGCCTGATGATCTATAAAAATAATAGTGGCTTTATTCTACAAAGATTTTATTTTTTTTATGCTTTTTTCAAACTAGAGGTTGTAAAGAGTTTGCATACTTATCTAGATCTAAGCCCAATTTGTACAATGGTCACTCTCTAACCCTATTGATACCTATTAAATCTCTGTAAATTCAGCTGTTGGTAGCCTAAGTCTATACAAATTTTTAATTTCATTCAAAAATGATCATAATTAACTACTTTTGTTTTCAGCTGAATGGAATCAAAATTTGCATTCTTCTCTTTAGTCTTCCAATCATCATTCCTATGACATTATAATCATTCCTATGACATGGGAATCATTTCTATGACATTAGAATCATTCCTATGACATTAGAAAACAAATTGACTTTTTCAGAATCACAATAAAAATCAAGAATTGCCTCTGACAATAATATCATGTCAATAATCTACCTGAACAGAGTCTATTATTACATTTCACATTAGTTACAAGATAACATAATGCTGTGTTAACAGTCATGATTTTACTCGTCCTTTAACACCAACATATGTGACAGATTATAATCTTCAAGATTAAAATATCATATAGTAACCATTAATAAATAACACTGAGCACTGACTAGAATAAATAAATGTTCATTTCTCATTATCTTTTCCACGTGTAAATTTCATTAATCTGCCATTTTTGTGATGATTTTCCAGGTTCACACCGTTGTAAAAGTAATTTTCCATCAGGCATTCCTTCAACACACTTATCATGATGTTGTTCTCTGATCACACCTGTATTCTGTTGATAAAAATTAAATATTTCAATTAATTGTTTTAAAAATAAGGATTAAACCACATGTGTTATCATATATAAGATAAAATAGGATTTTAGATACTTTCCAGAGACTTAAATTAATCAAAATATCATTGTATATAAACAACGACAAATCCAATCTTTAAACCATATTTAGGAGGAGAATGTGAGATGTGATTGAAATGAAACCTTGAAGCAAGTGTGCAGCAGTAAGACAATAGGTTATTCTGTACAGTTGTGAACAATTGCTGTTTTACTTTTTCAAGAATTAGGAACAGAAATACATGATGTGGGGATGCTCCAGAAAAATAGGAATTACAGGACCTTATTTTGACACAAAATTGGCTGTAATTTTACCTTTTTTTCTCTTTATTAGATGTGCACCATCTGGATTGGCCCATGCCAAGTAAATGCAATGAATATTATTTTAGTGCAGTTATAATTCTAAATTGTATTATTTGCATAATGTTTGTATCCAAACAAAGAAATTGCCAATGAAGCTTTAAATTTGAAAATTTGTTTTGTTGTTCCCAACCAGATGAATAAAAAACATGAATGTAATATAATCTTACCTCATCCCAGCTTCATGGACCAGTAGGTTGTACATCGCAGAAATATAACTAAATAAATAACATGAATGAAATATAATCTTACCTCATCCCAGCTCCATGGACCAGTGGGCTGTACATCACAGAAATATAACTAAACAAGAAATGATTGTAACAGGATGCTGTTACGAAGTCTCCCAAACGAAGCTCCCATAATTCGTAATTCCAAGGGTTGTCTTACATTGGGCAAAGTCCAGGGAAAATTGGTTTGGTCCAGTAAAGTTATATGCATTAGTGATGCCTGGGCACTAACCCTGTATATCATTCAAATCATCTTGGCATGACAAACCAGAATATATATGGTTTAGGGGTGGGGATCTCGACCATTTACAAGATACTAAAACATTAGGGGTGGGGGGAACCCCTGAGGACTGAGTCTTGACATCATTCAAATGTTCGAGACATGACGAACAGGAATATATATGGTTTAGGGGTGGGGATCTCGACCATTTACAAGATATTAGAACATTGGGGGTGGGGGGAACCCCTGGGGACTGACCCTATACATCATTCAAATGTTCGAGACATGACAAACAGGAATATATATGGTTTAGGGGTGGGGATCTCGACCATTTACAAGATATTAGAAAATTGGGGGTGGGGGAACCCCTGGGGACAGACCCTTTATGTCATTCAAATGTTCGAAACATGACGAACAGGAATATATATGGTTAAGGGGTGGGGATCTCAACCATTTACAAGATATTAGAACTTTCTCAAATGGCAGGGGGTGGGGATGACCCCTAGGGACTAACCCTGAATATCATTCAAACCATCTTCGCATGACAAACCAGAATATATATGGTTTAGGGGTGGGGATCTTGACCACTTACAAAGATATTAGAACTTTCTTAAATGGGAGGGGGTGGGGGTGACCCCTGGGGACTAACCGTGTAGTTCATTTGATGTGCTTTATCATGACAAACCAGAATATATATGGTTTAGGGGTGGGGATCTCGACCATTTACAAGATATTAGAACTTTCTCAAATGGCAGGGGGTCGGGATGACCCCTGGGGACTAACCCTGTATATCATTCAAACCATCTTAACATGACAAACCAGAATATATATGGTTTAGGGGTGGGGATCTTGACCACTTACAAGACATTAGAACTTTCTCAAATGGCAGGGGGTGGGGATGACCCCTGGGGACTAACCCTGTATATCATTCAAACCATCTTCGCATGACAAACCAGAATATATATGGTTTAGGGGTGGGGATCTTGACCACTTACAAAGATATTAGAACTTTCTTAAATGGGAGGGGGTGGGGGTGACCCCTGGGGACTAACCCTGTAGTTCATTTGATGTGCTTTATCATGACAAACCAGAATATATATGGTTTAGGGGTGGGGATCTCGACCATTTACAAGATATTAGAACTTTCTCAAATGGCAGGGGGTCGGGATGACCCCTGGGGACTAACCCTGTATATCATTCAAACCATCTTAACATGACAAACCAGAATATATATATGGTTTAGGGGTGGGGATCTTGACCACTTACATGATATTAGAACTTTCTTAAATGGCAGGGGGTGGGGGTGACCCCTGGGGACATACCCTGTAATTCATTTAATGTGCTTTATCAGTTAGAACATTTTCAATTAAAAAGATTGTGTCTATCACAAACGGTTTTCAATTTATAATCATTTGAAAATTTAAAAAAATAAAATCCCATAGGGTTCTATAGTAAAACCCTCCTTTCTTTTTGCCCCTCAAAGTACCCCTTTATAAACCCCATTACACAAACAAAACCCTGATTGCACCACTAGACATGTTAGTCTAACATATTGTGAAACCCTAAGTTAATCTGACAAGCGGTTTTGGAGAACGGGTGCGGACAAGTTCAAATTTAAAAGTGGCAGAAGAGGAAGAGGAAGAAGAATAATAATAATAATAACTGAGCAAAAACAATAAGTCTTCCCAAACTTCGTTTGGGAGACTTAATAAATAGCATGAATGAAATATAATCTTACCTCATCCCAGCTCCATGGACCAGTGGGCTGTACATCACAGAAATGTAACTAAATAAATAACATGAATGAAATATAATCTTACCTCATCCCAGCTCCTTGGACCAGTAGGTTGTACATCACAGAAATGTAACTAAATAAATAACATGAATGTAATATAATCTTACCTCATCCCAGCTCCATGGACCAGTGGGCTGTACATCACAGAAATGTAACTAAATAAATAACATGAATGAAATATAATCCTTCCTCATCCCAGATCCATGGACCAGTAGGTTGTACATCACAGAAATGTAACTAAATAAATAACATGAATGAAATATTATCTTACCTCATCCCAGCTCCATGGACCAGTGGGCTGTACATCACAGAAATGTAACTAAATAAATAACATGAATGTAATATAATCTTACCTCATCCCAGCTCCATGGACCAGTGGGCTGTACATCACAGAAATGTAAATGTAGTGTTGATCCTCCTGATGCTTTGATACAACGTTCCCCAACACCAATCTGACCTTTAGTATTCAATCTGAACAACTAGGAAACATAATAAAAACAGTTAACATTTGTATATTTGAATCATTACTTTGGTAAATCATTCCTTCAAAATTATTTTGATTTGTTCTATCTTTACATTTAATTTCCATAAGTTTTTTTTCCTAATTGCATGAATTTTGTTAATATTAAGTTCACTGAAATGACATATTATTTACATTTTGATAATATTTTTTTAATGAAAAATAAAAACCTACTAGAGATTCAATATCTGATTTTTTTAATTAATCTATCAGCATATTATAAAACATATTGATTGGAACTGGTAGTTCTAAAGTATTATATCTATGAATTAATGCATATATTACTGTCTTTTCCATATCCAGTACACATTATTGTGCTGGGCCCAATCAGACAACACATGACTAAGAAAAGCCAGCTCTAACCTACTGCTAATTATCAGTGATTTTCCTACCCATTTTCCAGTTGGGCCTGGGCCCCAGTCAATTAGGAAAAATGTGTCGTATAATGTATGAATTGGGAAGAAATAAATCATTGTGTCCAACATATTTTAATGATGTTATTTTAATATCATTTTAAACTTCCAAATATAACCATCTTTGACAACATTGTAATAGGCCCATATCGGCTTTCATACTTGAATGAGCAAAATGTCCTTGCATCCTTAGAATTAGTTGACATTTGGTCTGATTGAGCATCAGATACTCTCAACTCAGTCATAGAACCATGAGATTCTTTGCAAGTTTCCTTGTCAGTAACTGTCACTGAGCAATCAACATGAGGATTGCACTCGGAGTGGGATTGACGGTCAGTTTCACTTTGCACAGGAGCAGAGTTCATTTCAAGTGAATTATGCTCAGGTGTTTGTGAAGAAACAATTTGTTCAGAGCTAGTACTAGGGTCTGAGGTGACTGCTTTAGTGCCTTTCACCTCCACAACCACGGCTTCATCCTGTTCTACATCTGTAAAATTGTACAATTTTGTTCACAAATTGGAATTTTGTGAACGTAGTTACACTTACCTGATATCCTTACATTATGGATTATCTTTCCGGTATTTGGTCACATCTCGCTCAAAACGCTTGACTGATCAAGAATTCAAACCTCTTGGTGAATCAGTCCAAGCGTGAGAACCCCTTCAGTATTCTCCGGCGAAATCCAAACAGATTGCCAAAAGAATTACTAATGGGGAGGAGGTGGGTAGTATATCAGGTAAGTGTAACTACGTTCACAAAATTCCAATTTGTGAACAAAATTGTACAATTTTAATATTACTTGTTACACTTACCTGATATCCTTACATTATGGATATCCATAGATTCTAAAGCAGTCCCAACTCAAGCGGTGGACTGTAATTCTTTTGTTCAAATAATGTACACTATATTACACTATATACAAAGTCTAAATGTTTGACTTTAAACACATTAAATAGATGTCTTTTTCATCTCACACACAAAGGTTTAAAAACTTGCATCGCATCTCGTCGGATATGAATAGTTCCAACACTATACAAACTATATTACAAGTTAAAAAACTGTACACATTTTTCTTCTTTTTTTTTTTCGAATTTTATGTATTTTTCTTCTTTTTTTTTTTTTTTTTTTTTTTACTTCGATAAAACATGAGGGTCTATGTGACGTAAGTAAAATTTGGTGAATGTGGATTCCCTGCTCCAATCAGCAGCTTCCATGATGTTCTTCATTGATGCACCTTTATAAAGAGCCCAAGAAGGACCAATAGCTCTTGTCGAATGAGCCTTAACAGATTTCTTTTTGTCGTTATATGCCATCTGAATGGTACTCACAATCCATGATGAAATTGTTTGACTTGAAATTGGCTTATGTGGATTACTGATTGCTAAGAACAATTTACTATCTTGTCTGTTTTCACCACGAAAATTGTCAGTGCTCTTTAAATAGTACGTTAATGCCCTTTTAGGGTCAAGAAGCTTTTCTGCATCAAAGGCAGGTACAAAAATCTTAGCACCAAAATGTCCAGGACGGTCTTGTTTTGACAATCCTTCTCTAATAAAATAAACTCCTCTGCTATGTACAGATATATTTCCATCTCCCAAACGTAAGGCCTGTATATCACTGCAACGCCTGAAAGTAGTGATAGCAATTAAAAATACAGTTTTCCATGTGATAAACTTGAGTTCAGCCTTTTTCATTGGCTCAAAAGGCTTTTTCTTTAACATTTCAAGTATTTTATCTAAATTCCATTCAGGAAGTAGTTTGACCCTGGGAGGCCTTGAATTGAAAACACCCTTCAATAAACGAATAATGTATGGGTGTTGACCTACTGGTATTTTTTCAACTGGGGGTAAAACACTTGATAACATAGATCTGTAGCCCCCAATCGTACTATACTGGAGACCACTGGTATACAGACTTGTAAGAAAATCTGCAGTTTCTGTTAAAGAGGCAGAATAGGGATCAATTTCCCTTTCACTACACCAGCCACAGAATTTTTTGAACTTACTAGAATAGTCCTTTTGAGTTCCTGTTCTCCAAGAAGCTGACATGAGTTGTCTAGTTTCTTTAGAAAAACCTCTCTTTTTGAAAATTCTGTTGATAGAGGCCATGCAACCAGACTGAATATTTCTGGGCTTGGATGGTATATTTTTGTTCTTGGCTGATGTAGTAGATTTTTTTGAACTGGTATTTTTATGGGATAATCTGATATCATTTTTAGCAGTTCTGGGTACCAGTGTCTCCTTGGCCAATGAGGAGCTACAAGAATTAGCTGGCAATTGTACCGATTCATGTGTTGGAGCACTTTCGGTACTAGACAGATCGGAGGAAAAGCATACCCGATTACATTGTCCCACGGTATGGACAGAGCATCTATTGCATATGCTTCCGGGTGAGGAAACCATGAACAAAATATTTTCACTTTGCGATTTTCCGCTGATGCAAACAAATCTATCATCGGTCTGCCTAACCTGACAAAAATTTGTTGAGCTACAGTCTCCTGAAGAGACCACTCTGTGTGTCTTATTTTTGTCCGTGATAGAAGATCTGCTAACACATTCGCTTTGCCTGCTATATGTGCTGCTTTTATCTGAATTTTGTGTTCTATTAGGAGTTTCAACAAATCCCAAGTTTTTTGACAAAGCTGAATTGATTTGGTGCCCCCCTGTTTGTTTATGTATTGTACAACAGTCGAGTTGTCGCATCGCAGAAGTACATTTTTCCTTTTCAACTGAGGGAGAAAATGTTGTATTGTTTTCAGTACAGCTTCCAACTCTAGACAATTGATATGTTGAGTTTTCTGTATATCTGACCAGGTCCCTTGGACTATCTGGGAATCCATGTGACCACCCCAACCGTTCGATGTAGAAGCATCTGTCGTTATGGTCACATGAGTTTCCCAGTGTTGTAAAGATCTGCCCTTTGTAATGTTGGCTGTATCTGACCACCAAATCAGATGAGATTTTAGATATTGTGTAATTGGAACATTCAGTTCCAGATTTTGAGAAGTGGGGCGCCAATGACTCAGCAAATAAATTTGAATTGGTCTCATATGAAGTCTTGCATAGGGAATCATCTCTATGCAAGAAGCCATAATTCCAAGTAGATGTAAAAAATCTCTGGCTGTTGCATGTTTTTTCAAGTTCATTACTTTGACTGTTTTTTGTAATTTCAACACTCTTTCTTGTGTTGGCATTACTATTCCTAAATCCAGATGGAATAATGCACCTATATATGTTATTTTCTGTGTTGGAGTTAAAGAGGATTTTTTTAGATTGATTATGAAACCCAACTTTACCAGAAGATTCAACACTATCTCTCGATCCTGGACTAACATGAGAGATGATTGATTTACTAGAAACCAGTCGTCCAGGTATACTACTAGTCTGATGCCTTGTGCTCGTAAATGTGCAGCTACTACCGATACTACTTTGGTAAAAACTCGAGGAGCTGATGTTGGACCAAACGGTAGAGCTGAAAATTGTAAGCAAGGGCTGTTTTTTACACAAAACCTCAGATACTGTCTGTGTTTTTGAAATACAGGGATATGCATATATGCGTCCTTTAGATCGAGAGATATTGCCCAATCCCCTTGTTTTACTACATTCAAAACTGTTGACAGAGAGTCCATTTTGAAGTGTTGTTTTCGGAGATACCTGTTGAGGGGTTTTAAATTTATTACGGGTCTCATGTCCCCTGTTTTTTTCGGAACTAGGAAAAATGTGCTGTAGAAACCGTTTAAAATGTCCGCTTGCGGAACATATTCTACAGCGCTTTTTTCCATAAGTTCTTTTACTTCTAAATGTAAAATTTCTAAATCTTTTGCAGGAACAGAAGTTATTTTTACTCCTGTTTTTGGAGGAAACTGTTGAAATTCCAGTTTGTAGCCCTCTTTTATAATTGATAAAACCCACTGATCGTTTGTTATTTTTGTCCATTCCTTTAGAAATAAGCTTAAACGACCCCCTACAGGTATCTCTGGAAGCAACATTTGCACATGAAAGTTGCTTACCTTGATCTGATAGTCATTTCTTTTGTTGCCCCTTGGCATGAAATGGGTTGTTAAAGCGACGAAAATTGTTCGTTGTACCAGAACTCTTGTCGTCTTTATCTGGTCTTGTTACTGTACTAGTTCTTTGTACTGTACGCTGTGTATTAGACTTAGCACCTGTGAAAGTAGAACCTTGTGCATTGTCAAATTTTGGTTTCTTAGACCAATCATTGGAAAATTGATTGCCTGTAGCTTTCCTTTTCACTGAAAAAGTTTTATTTACATGTAATTCAGGCAGTAACTCTTTTAATTGTTTATTTTTGTCAACCCTGTCTTTAAGAGTTTGTTCCATATTGTCACCAATGACACCTGACTTTGTCAAAGGTAATGATACAAGTGGATGCTTAAGCTCTTTAATATCATTAAGACCTGTGTCCTCTAAAGTAGCTTTTCTACGAATTAAGTGGTGAAATGCACCAGCCCGTGCCACTTGGTCCAAAGATTTTGTAGACATTGCAAATATGTCTCTTACAAGTTGGATAGATTTGTCTAGATTAACTTCATTTTCTGACAAAGTATTTAACAAATTGCCCAAAGCTTGTTGGGTGTATGCTGTAGTAATTATCCCCATGCGTGCAGCTACCTGGCCTTGATATGCCAACTTTTCAAGGGATTTTAAACAAGGATTGTATAAATTGCTTTTCTGGCTTACTGAATAAGCTTTAGCACCATGTTTTTTCACTAATAAATCAGGTACCATATTATCTAGACTAGGTACTTCTAAAATATCACTAGTTTTCTCGTGAACAGGAAAACTGTGTCTATATTCATCATTATAGGCTGTCAACCTTTCTGGATTTTTACACCTCCAAGAACCAGATAAAATATCAATTTGACTTTTGTCAAGAATAAGACCTCCAGAGCTTGTCTCTTTTTTAGTCTTAACATCATCCCCAAATAAAGATTTTAAGTGATCATTATTGTTCTCATCTGAGTCACTTTCATTACCATTCACATATTTACTGAATCTTGATGAAGATTTTTGAGGATTTTCAGTTTCACTTTTTAAAGAAGACTCATCTTCTGATAGTAAACCTATGTCATGTCTTTCTCTAAGGCCTGGTGCCAAAGATACGACATCTTCATTTTCCCTTTCACGAACTGAATCTGTTGGAAAATGTTCATGGTTAGAATCCTGAACAAGTCTGTGCGCTCCTGAAGAGCCACTATCTTGTTCAGATTGATTCTGACAAGGTCTCTGCTCACCTGACGTGACAGTATCCTTGTTTATATTTATACCATCGTTTGAACTAAATAAATCAAAAAATTTATCAAACCTGGTTTCTATCTGTGAGAAACGGCTTTCCCATTTCTTATTCAGTTCCTCGACCTCGTCCTTTTTCTTGGACCTACGGGAACTGGTCTTTCTCGAGGCTTTTGGCTCCGCCATTTTATCCCGAGCATCCCCTGCCACTGATGATTTTGGACTGCTGGCAGTAGAAAATACCTCGTCTTCACTGAGCGTGTGATGAACGGTAGCTTCCGTCATCCTTGCACGCATACGAAAACTTAATTTGCAAAAACTTGTGTCTTAGACACGTTAATTCTGACGAATAAAGAAACGTGACCGCTTTGGATTTCGCCGGAAAGAATACTGAAGGGGTTCTCACGCTTGGACTGATTCACCGAGAGGTTTGAATTCTTGATCAGTCAAGCGTTTTGAGCGAGATGTGACCAAATACCGGAAAGATAATCCATAATGTAAGGATATCAGGTAAGTGTAACAAGTAATATTAAAAGTAGAAACATTTCCATTCAAGATATCAATCCCTGTAGAATCTTCAGTACTAATTTTGGATTTTTTAAAGCCAAACATATCAAGTTTTTTACAATCAGTGGCATCTTTGCCTTTTTTCAATTTGCGAAAATAATATTTTGAATTATGAGAGGACATGTTGTCTGTTGGGGCATGCTCAATTCACAGCAAAAAAATAAACCAGACCAGCATATCTTCGCTCAGTATGACATTGCCGAAAAAGCATATAGTAAAAATTTACTTATGAGAAAATAATGAAAACCTTTTAGTTTTCATGTAGGCATATATTTACAATGTTACTCAGATAATAACACTACATCATCACTTCATATCATTCCAAATTCTTACTGTTAACAAATGGAAGTCATCCAAATGCTGAACTAAGCTTACCTATTTTAAAAACTGGTTTACGAAATATGTTAGTTACCTGTCTATATTCGACGTGATTTTCTTCGGGAACAGTACAACAACTTATATTTTGAACCAAATCATAGGAACAATAAAATTTTCAATTATCTTTCTGCTACAACTTGATTGAATTGGGAATTTTTACGGGTTCAATTGGGAAAATTTCAGGTATTTTCTAATTGGGAACGGGGCCGATATTCAGCCCTAAAATAAAGGCAAGAAAATCACTGATTATCTAAGCAAAATCAATATTCAATGATCAAAAATAGTCAAATATCCCATCTCTATGTATTAATAGCATTAGTAGTTATATCAAAGCACTAAGTGATTATCCCAATTAACACAATTTGCAGCAAAATATCTGCTTTTATATTAAACATTTTTTTAATGTATCAACTTTGTATAATTTAATAACGTAAAAGCAGACCAACTTTCTATAGCTACATTTGCTATCCCACCACCAGTTACTGCTCTTTTTACCTTTGTAATACTCCAAGAAAGACAAGATGATATGTTAGTAATGTAAACATTGCTCTAATAAATCACTGAAATGACAAAGATTAGTGCAAGGTCATCTAGCTTACCAAGGTCACCTCTATAATGGTAGCCTTGTAAACTGGATGACAACATATAAATACACAGAAATGATGACTTAATGATCAGGTTAGTTGTGTGTCTTACAGTCTATCTATATCAGTCTATAACAGTTCTTCTCTGAGACAACTTGAAAAAGATTCAGAGAGAAACAGATGAAAGGAAACAAAAACTACATTTTTGTGCCATTCTGTACCAGATGTAAAACTCACATAAGAATCTGATCATTAAGTCACATGATCACATGATCTCATCCATTTTACCTGGTTACCACCATAGTGATGACAATAACTTTGACCTATAGGTCCACCTCCGACTTGTTGTCCCATAACATCCCAACACTTGTTACTTCCTTGCAACTTGAACTGAAAAAAAATTGTTAATATGTTAAAGATAAAAGTAAAATACAATGAAATACTTGTCAAATTTTAAAAAGAGAAATCCTTAATATGATGTCTGTCTTTTATAACCTGCCTATGATAACTAGAATTGCATATTTTCTTTCATTTTATAAAGCTTATATGTTGCTATTGTTCTTGTATTTTATTTGTACAGATAACATTATTGTTTTATTTCTGCAGGTTTTTCTTGACATATTTCATTTAATTTTCAAGACTTGTGGTTTTATCTTTTCAAGAATTTACAACTTTGATGCAATTTTGTTGTGTTTGTTGTTCTTTACTGGTTGTAATCTATGCGAAATTACTAATTACCAAGTCATAACTAAAGGTTGATGCCAGAAGAAGCTTTCAATTGGATTATTTGAAATGAAACACATATTTATCAAGTGTTTGATTTTATTCCCCAGTTTGTTTGGCTTATTGCTGAATATAAACTTTAAAATATTTTCAAAAAATTAAAAAACTAGAAGATGTACAAGTAATTTCAATATTCATTGATAAGATAACAGATTATATTATACAAACCTCTCCCCAAGCCTTGTTTGGAGGTAAAGGAGGAAACTTTTCATAAACTTCATAAGCTACATTCTCCATAAACCATTTAAAACTTTTACAATTGTGTTCCTTTTTAAACTGAAGTTGTTTAGTCACATCTCCTATAGGATAGCCTCTCACTCCGGGTTCCCTGGTATAAAAATATTCCTGAAATTCTGGATCCAGCCAAACTGCAACAACTCTCATGTAATTCTAAAAACACAAAACACAATAGACTTCATGATGATAGTGTAAAAACATTTTCTTCAAAAGAAAAATTCAAAGTTATCTGAGATTTTCAACCTTTTCTAAATTTAACCTTTAAAATGTCACTAACTTAAATATTTCAGTTGTTTCTACAACTTTTAAGGCAGCCTTACCAGACTTAGTACTAATTTTTTCCCCCAAAAAAATATACAGAAACTCACCAGCTGAATGACTGGTATTTTAACATCAACTTTACCAAATCCATAAGGCATATGGTTTCTGTAAATGTGGCCAACTCTAGAACATGGGACCCATTCTATACTACCTCCACACTGCCATAGCTGAAAAATTTACCATAATCAAAATATATATTTTAAAATTATAAAACTAATATGCAATTTTAAAAAAAAAATGAAGTCCGATAAAATATACTTTTTCCAATTGTTTTTTTTTCATTTTTTTCATGCCAGGGCCTTTTATAGCCGACTATATGGTATGTTTTTTTCTCATTGTTAAAGGCCGTACAGTTGCCTTTAATTGCTTATATCCACTTCATTTGAACTTGGGTGGATAGTTGTCTCATTGGAAATCATACCACATCTCCCTAATTTTATATTGTAAGAAATTTGGAAAAAAACACTTTTATCTGTTGAGCATAATATTGCATTGGTCATTAGGAAAAAAGGATTCTAAACAGTCCTTTCACTGACTTTAATCAGTAATTGTAAATGGACAGCAAAAGATATAAACTCATGCACTTGTGATATACTGGTGTGATTTCTCAACACCATCATAGACCATTCAATTAATTAATGATATTGGAGCATGATATTTTCTTATTTTACCTAATACCGTAGAAAGGCTTGTATAGTCCGCGGTTTTATTCTCCAAAATTGGACCTTCCAGACGGGGTGCGGACTATAGAGTACAATAAGCAAGAAATAAGAGAAAAATTTCAATTTCGCGGGCGAGGTGGTTTGTTTACGTTCCGCCATCTTTGTTATTTATATTGTAGAGGGCGCTCTTATCATTTTTCAAACTAATAATTTTAACTCATCCATATTAATAAGTTATTTCTATTCAATATCAAATTAATACTGATAAATATAAAAACTAAACCTTTCATTACAAATTTCTCGTTTCTTTTCAATGCATTGGTAGAAATAAACTGGTATCTGCATGATTGAAACGATACAAACATAGTGAAAAAGACAACCGTAAACCAGCTTAGAATTTGTAAACTACAAAACGTAATCGGTTATTGTTTGTTCCGTTTTGGTGTTTCATACTGACTAATATGGTTTGTATTAGCTTAAGACCCTTCAAGCATTAATGTGATAGATATATTAAAGACAGATCACTCAAAGAATCTGAAAATCAGACCTAATCACACAAGAGTGCACACGCTGAAATGTCTCGCCTTCTTTACTAATCATTGATATTATGTTGATAGTCCTAAATATAAAGCTTTATTTCAACTGTCACATAAACTTAACATTAACCAAGTAAACTAAACATTGACCAATGAACCATGAAAATGAGGTCAAGGTCAGATGAACCATGCTAGGCAGGCATGTACAGCTAACAATTCTTCCATACAACAAATATAGTTGACCTATTGCTTATAGTTTAAGAAAAACAGACGAAAACACAAAAACTTAACACTGAGCAATGAACCTTGAAAATGAGGTCAAGGTCAAATAAAACCTGCGTAACTGACATATAGATCATAAAATATTTCCATACACCAAATATAGTTGAACTATTGCATATAGTATTAGAAAAAAAGACCAAAACTCAAAAACTTAACTTTGACCACTGAACCATGAAAATGAGGTCAAGGTAAGATGACACCTGCCAGCTAGACATGTACACCTTACAATCATTCCGTACACCAAATATAGCTGACCTATTGCATGCAGTATTAGAAAGAAAGACCAAAACTCAAAAACTTAACTTTGACCACTGAACCATGAAAATGAGGTCAAGGTCAGATGACACCTGCCAGCTAGACATGTACACCTTACAATCATTCCATACACCAAATATAGTAGACCTATTGCATACAGTATAAGAAAAACAGACCAAAACACAAAAACTTAACTATAACCACTGAACCATGAAAATGAGGTCAAGGTCAGATGACACCTGCCAGTTGGACATGTACACCTTACAGTCCTTCCATACACCGAATATACTAGACCTATTGCTTATAGTATCTGAGATATGGACTTGACCACGAAAACTTAACCTTGTTCACTGATCCATGAAATGAGGTCGAGGTCAAGTGAAAACTGTCTGACGGGCATGAGGACCTTGCAAGGTACGCACATACCAAATATAGTTATCCTATTACTTATAATAAGAGAGAATTTAACATTACAAAAAATCTGAACTTTATTTTCAAGTAGTCACTGAACCATGAAAATGAGGTCAAGGACATTGGACATGTGACTGACGGAAACTTCGTAACATGAGGCATCCATATACAAAGTATGAAGCATCCAGGTCTTCCATCTCCTAAAATATAAAGCTTTTAAGAAGTTAGCTAACGCCGCCGCTGCCGCCGCCGCCGCCAGATCGCTATCCCTATGTCGAGCTTTCTGCGACAAAAGTCGCAGGCTCGACAAAAACCTAATGTCAACTAACAATCATTCTATACATAAAATTTAGTCGACCAATTTATTTATAGTACCTATGAAACAGTTGTAATCATGAAAAAATAATATTAACCAATGAGTCATGAAAATTAGGTCAAGGTCAAAATAACCCTGTCAGACAGTATCTTTATACAAAATATGGATCATCAGACTCTTCTACCATCTTATATAAGAAGCTTTATACAACAAGCCTACTCCATTGCAAAATTTCTCTGTTTTGCATTTTGCAACATTTATTGCAGGAGAAACAAATTGCATTGTCAAAACATCTGTAAAAAAATTCTGTATTTACAGGATCTTTTAATTTAAATTACGGTATATGAATTGGAGACATCTAAAGTTTGGTGTTTACCTTAAATGACAATTCAAAGTTTTCTCCACCCCAGATCTTCAATCCAGGGTCATAAGCTCCCATCTCAAAGAAATACTTCCTATCCATAGCAAATAACCCTCCTGCATGTGTTGGAGCTCTATAAATAGATATAATGATCTATAAATATATTTAACAATGTGTTATAATACTTCCATTATAACTTAACTGGCTAGGGCTGAATTTTGAAGATTCTACAACCCTTCTATTATTTCTCTGGATAACTGACCAGGATAAGTTTTAATATTGTACATACACTCTAAAAAATATTTTAATGGCTAAATGTATACCTCTATGATGTACAGTATATCCATAAGAAATCAAAGCAACGCCACAGCTTAACCAAACATCAAAACAAGACTTCTCAGCTATGGCCAATTGCTCCCTTCCTCATCCATTTGAAGAAACTAAATGCCTGTGAGCACCAAAGGATGACGATTGCTTTCATTTCGCAAAGTTAACTTAAAACTGCATTGTATTATTACCAATGAAAGACATTTAGGCAATATTTTGAATTGGGAGTTATCTTCCTTTGTCCATAATTGTAATTGAACATGCTTTTAGATCAGATGTAATATTGCGAAAATATGATTGAATTGGGAGTTATCTTCCTTTGTCCATAATTGTAATTGAACATGCTTTTAGATCAGATGTAATATTGCGAAAATATGATTAACTACACATATGACAAAACTTGAAACCAAACAAAACAGCCATGCTACCACATCATATATTTATAAAGAATTATGAGGATATTATCATAATTAACAGATGTTCTCTAATAGATATTGTCAGATCTAAATGGTGATCAACTACACATTATGATCATACATATTACACAAATGGATTATGAGATGTTGCCCACTTTTATCTGTATGTCCAATCATTACAATAAGGAGGGGGTAAATAACACGACCTTCCCCATAACTATGTGCTCACACAAACCAAGAAGAAAGAATAAAGAAGTTTGTACAATTACAAATACACGGTACTTACCTGTAAGGTTCACTGTTGTGTTGTCTTCTATCCAGTTCTTGTTTAGGTACCTGACTCTCCTTATATAGAAATCCCCACTCAAATATACCTCTGTGATGTACAGTACTATATACTGGGTGGTATCCAAAGTTATCCCAGTCTATACCGTCAATAGTTGGTACTGCCATTATTGTTCTTTAAAAAAAAGGAGTCAAGTAACTTTTTATGTGACGAAAGATGGTTTTGCAGAATGATCTGCTAGATATGATTAGTGTCGTGTATGTATCTGATTTGGAAATATCTGAAGATCTAAAATGTTCAAGATTGTTGCTTGTGAAAGGTGTTGTCCTCTTGTTCCCCAAGTTATCATTTCAGCATTTCAACTTCAAGCACAACTGAAATATTTACAAACTGTAAGACAGAGCGTATAGTTTACTCAGGTCCCTCTTCCCTTCAATTTGTGAGGAGCTTACTTTTTTCTTTCTAAAGAACTTCCATGGCCAATATTCATTTTTACCTTTAATCAAATTTGAAAATGTCTTTTTCCATGACTTAATTCCATTCAACCTTGAATGGTTACAGTGGAAATTACCAAAACCTGAAGAAAATCTAATCTTATTATTTCTAAGTTGGTCTTGAAATTTCCTATGATCATTTAAAGCATTGTTATAATGTTTATTTGTTATAAATCATACCTGTCAACCTCTGAAATTGAACCTGCATTGAAGAAGAAAATGTCAGGTCATAACGAATACAAACTTTTTTATGGTTTGATTTTAGTTTTTTTTTTATATACTATAAAATATACATGTACCACTGAGTTTCCTACAAATATTCACTTTTGTATTTATTAATTATATAAATATTTATCATTAATTAAAAATCTTCGTAAAGCAATGCCCTCTTATTGTTTTATTCACACTACTTTTTATAAATGAATGTCATAAACCCCAGCAATACATGTAATTAGAAATCAATTAGAGCTAATGTGCTCCTATACACTTGAGGACGATAAATAGAAAGAAGTTAGTGTGTTTCCTTTCAGTGCAATATCTAGAGCATATGGATTTGATCTAAAGATTTTATATTAAAGTGATAACAAAATTATTCTCTCCAACAGAAATGTATTGAAAGGTTCAAATTGTTTTAAAATGATTTAACATTGATATTTGCAAACAGCAATTCTTTTAATCAGGACATAGAATTGTATGTCAAGCTTGACTGGCTTCCTCTTTCTGGGGTACAATTAACGAGACAATTCTCGAATTGTTCCTTTTCAATCAAAGGTAATGTTTTGATAGCTGTCATCAGCACGGTAAATAAGCAAATCCTAAGTTTTGACTTTTCAATTGTTTACCTTTTCAAAGGAAAAAGTCTATAAAACCAAACGTATATTTGACTTCGAAATTATGAAAACAATACCAGTCAGAAATACTGGTAAAAACGGGATATTTTCAGAAATCACGGGTTATTTGAATATGTCGGGTATTTAAAAATCCTGTGTGAAAGGGAAAATTCACGGGGGTAACCCGCAGAATACTGGTTAGTTAACAGGTATGTATAAATCATAAATAACAAAAATATAAACTGTTAACACAGAGATATGTCTCACCTATTTGTTATTTTGATAATGCAAATGTTGAAATTAAAATAGCAATACTTTAACATGTAAGTTATGCAAATAATCAAAGTCAATGAACCATGACTGAAGGTACAGGGCTAAACAATCTCCATGGAAACGAGATGTGCCAATGCTAATACAACTGCAAACCAAATACTTTTCATAAGTCGTTCCCCTTAAACAAACCTAAACACAAAAATTAACTTGTAAACTATGTAAAATTTCAAAGTCATTAAACCATAATTAGGGGGTGTGGTTATATAATCTCCATGGAAATGAAACTTGCATACCGAATATCATTTACTTAACATTAGTGGTTCATCTTAAACTGACCTAATCACAAACTTATACAAGCAAACTAAGCAAAAAATTCAAAGTCAATAGACCATGACTGAGGGGTAAGGACCAAATATTCTCCATGGAAATGAGATTTGCTAATGCTTATACAACTGCATACCAATTATCATTGACCTACCACTAACAGTTCCCCTTAAACTGAACCAATCACAAACTAATACATGGAAATTAAGCAAAAGTTTCAAAGTCAATAGACCATGAATGAGGGGGCGGGGCCAAATAATCTCCATCGAAATGAGATATGCCAATGCTTATACAACTGCATACCAAATATCATTGACCTACCACTAGTGATTCCCCATAAACTGACCTAATCACAAACTAATACATGTAAACTAAGCAAAGTTTCAAAGTCAATAGACCTTGACTGAGGCGGCGGCGCCAAATAAATTCAATGGTAATGAGATGTGCCAATGCTAATACATCTGCATACCAAATATCATTGACCTACCACTAGTGGTTCACCATGAATTAGACCTAATCACAAACTAATACATTGTTGACGCCGACCGCTGTCCCTGCTGCCTCCGACACTGGAAACAGCATACCTATGTCTCGCTTTTTGACTCCGTCAAGGCAAGACAATAAAAACAATAAGACTTTCTAAAAGTATACTACTTTAAAATCTCTGAAATCAACAATATAATACAGGCTACTTTTTAAAATAAATTTTAGAATAGAAGATATTTACATAATTCAAGTTTTAATCTTTAATTTGTATTTTTTTATGTCTGGTTCGTTCTTTACCGTTATGATTGTATTAACTTTCCTTAGTGATAAGCCAACACAATTTTTTTAAAGAGAAATATCAAATGTCTCTTCTGCATTCATTACCAGGACATTAACAATAATTCCCATGTTTATTTCAACATCACAGTTAACTCCCCTGACTTACCTGTCATATTTAATTCTAGCAAGCAGAGGTACTAGCCAGTTTTTATTACATTCACAGTGAGCATCTAAGAATACAATGACATCTCCAGTGGACAGCTCAGCTCCTCTTGTTCTTGTACCGATCAATCCCATTCGCTCTTTATTTCTGTATAGCTTCACCTTTCCATTAAACTGTTTAATATATTCCTCTAATTTGCCTTTTAAATGTTCTGCATAATAAATGAAAACAGTGATGGTTATGGATAGCAGTTTTATAAATGCAATCAATAGTATAATTTATTCAAGTTTTCAGAAAACCTGTGTTTTTGGGATCAAAGCTAAAACATATGATTGGAGCAATTGTCTGTTCAGTCTTCCTTATGTATTCACTTCAATCAAATGCACATATTGTCCCTTGACAATGGCCTAATACTTCTGACTTGATTGCAATATGGTAAGTTACACTCATGAAAACATATTTTCTAAAATAAAACATCTGTAATACTGCAGTAATCTGCAGTAATAATAATTTCTCTTTCTTGAATGAGTTTTTTTCTCTCTGTTTGTAGCATCTAGAATGAACAAGAGTGCACACGCTGAAATGTCTCGCCTTCTTTACTAATCATTGATATTATGTTGATAGTCCTAAATATAAAGCTTTACTACAACTATCACATACACTTAACATGATCCAAGAAAATGAGGTCAAGGTCATATAAACCAAACAAGAAATACATGTACACCTTACAATCATTCAATACACTAAATATAGTTGACCTATTGTTTATAGTTTCTAAGATACAGACTTAACCAAGAAAACTAAACATTGACCAATGAACCAAGAAAATGAGGTCAAGGTCAGATGAACAATGCCAGGCAGACATGTACTACAGCTTGCAATCCTTCCATACAACAAATATAGTTGACCTATTGCTTATAGTATCTGAGATATGGACTTGACCACCAAAACTTAACCTTGTTCATTGATCCATGAAATGAGGTCGAGGTCAAGTGAAAACTGTGTGACAGGCATGAGGACCTTGCAAGGTACGCACATACCAAATATAGTTGAACTATTGCATATAGTATTAGAAAAAAAGACCAAAACTCAAAAACTTAACTTTGACCACTGAACCATGAAAATGAGGTCAAGGTCAGATGACACCTGCCAGCTAGACATGTACACCTTACAATCATTCCATACACCAAATATAGTAGACCTATTGCATACAGTATAAGAAAAACAGACCAAAACACAAAAACTTAACTATAACCACTGAACCATGAAAATGAGGTCAAGGTCAGATGACACCTGCCAGTTGGACATGTACACCTTACAGTCTTTCCATACACCGAATATACTAGACCTATTGCTTATAGTATCTGAGATATGGACTTGACCACCAAAACTTAACCTTGTTCATTGATCCATGAAATGAGGTCGAGGTCAAGTGAAAACTGTGTGACGGGCATGAGGACCTTGCAAGGTACGCACATACCAAATATAGTTGAACTATTGCATATAGTATTAGAAAAAAAGACCAAAACTCAAAAACTTAACTTTGACCACTGAACCATGAAAATGAGGTCAAGGTCAGATGACACCTGCCCGCTAGACATGTACACCTTACAATCATTCCATACACCAAATATAGTAGACCTATGGCATACAGTACAAGAAAAACAGACCAAAACACAAAAACTTCACTATAACCACTGAACCATGAAAATGAGGTCAAGGTCAGATGACACCTGCCAGTTGGACATGTACACCTTACAGTCCTTCCATACACCGAATATACTAGACCTATTGCTTATAGTATCTGAGATATGGACTTGACCACCAAAACTTAACCTTGTTCACTGATCCATGAAATGAGGTCGAGGTCAGATGAAAACTGTCTGACAGGTATGAGGACCTTGCAAGGTACGCACATACCAAATATAGTTATCCTATTACTTATAATAAGAGAGAATCTAACATTACAAAAAATCTGAACTTTTTTTTCAAGTAGTCACTGAACCATGAAAATGAGGTCAAGGACATTGGACATGTGACTGACGGAAACTTCGTAACATGAGGCATCCATATACAAAGTATGAAGCATCCAGACCTTCCACCTTCTAAAATATAAAGCTTTTAAGAAGTTAGCTAACGCCGCCGCCGGATCACTATCCCTATGTCGAGCTTTCTGCGACAAAAGTCGCAGGCTCGACAAAAATTAATAACATGAGTTAAAAACTATTTGTATATCCAAACCTTTTTCACTAAAGTCATCAACCATCACCACTTCATGGAGAAGATGTGGTGGTGAAGTGTCAATTACACTGTGTACAGTCCTCACCAGTGTGGACCATCCTTCATTATGGAATACAAGAATAACACTAGCTGTGGGCAAATCTTCTGGGTATTGCCAATATTTACATCTGAAATTTTAAAGTTACACTCTAATATGAATCCCTATACCATACGACAGAGGAAACTACCTTTCATAGGAGGTTGTTAACTCTCTTAAATGCATCCACACATCAAATAAAGGATTGCAGATTACTTACCACATGAAAAATTCACTCAAATATACAATTTAATATAAGTCGATGAATAAAATGCAGACCAGAGTGACCTATCATTTATGGGAAGTTGATATACTTCCAAAGATGTATCATTACATAAAATCATATGATTTTTCGGTCATTATGTACAAATGTATCTGATATCGGACTTGGACATAAAACTTAATCATCATCAGAGTCTATAAAGTTTATACTCTCCAAGATGCATCATTATACCAATGTATATGACTGTTGGTCACTTAATATCTAGTGTCTGAACTCAGATGTAAAACATAATTCCAGTCAATAAAGCAAAAGTATTTGAGATATTACCTGAAGTATAATTACCCCATATCTTTTCTATTCATCATTGACGATCTATGATTATTCATGTATACTTGTTAAAATAAATAACAGACCTAATCCAGAAACTCAACCTGATCACTAATTGAAAATGAGGTCAATGCAATATGACATATGTCAAATAGACTACATAGTGGTAATTTTTCAGAGCAAACACTGGTAAATCCCTTTGAAATATTGCTCTGTATATTATAAAACAGATATTGTATTATAGGGCCATAATTAAGAGTTGTATAATGCAAATTCAGCAGCAATCACTGTTTTCCACAGTGATTCACTCAAGCTCAACACTAGCAAAAAAACAATCATGCTAGATACCAAAATATACACAAATCCTTTGTGAGCAGCAATTATGTGTTCTGTTATCTCCACAAAAACAACAGACATACAAAGAATTGGTAACCTATCAATGTATAGTTTCTATGGAATAGACCTAATCCTGAGAACTTAAACCTGAACATTATTTGGTTTATCACTTAGACATAGTAAAACCAGCTGTTCAAAGCAGTATGGTTATTTTTGGTATAGTAAATTCTGAAATGTTTTGGATGTTTTTTATAGTGAAAATTGCAACGGAATAGGTTGCAGCCAAAAAATAACAAGAGTGCACACGCTGAAATGTCTCGCCTTCTTTACTAATCATTGATATTATGTTGATAGTCCTTAATATAAAGCTTTATTACAACTGTCACATAAACTTAACATTAACCAAGTAAACTAAACATTGACCAATGAACCATGAAAATGAGGTCAAGGTCAGATGAACCATGCTAGGCAGGCATGTACAGCTAACAATTCTTCCATACAACAAATATAGTTGACCTATTGCTTATAGGTTAAGAACAAGAGTGCACACGCTGAAATGTCTCGCCTTCTTTACTAATCATTGATATTATGTTGATAGTCCTAAATATAAAGCTTTATTACAACTGTCACATAAACTTAACATTAACCAAGTAAACTAAACATTGACCAATGAACCATGAAAATGAGGTCAAGGTCAGATGAACCATGCTAGGCAGGCATGTACAGCTAACAATTCTTCCATACAACAAATAGAGTTGACCTATTGCTTATAGTTTAAGAAAAACAGACCAAAACACAAAAACTTAACACTGAGCAATGAACCTTGAAAATGAGGTCAAGGTCAAATAAAACCTGCGTGACTGCCAAATAGATCATAAAATATTTCCATACACCAAATATAGTTGAACTATTGCATATAGTATAAGAAAAACAGACCAAAACACAAAAACTTAACTATAACCACTGAACCATGAAAATGAGGTCAAGGTCAGATGACACCTGCCAGTTGGACATGTACACCTTACAGTCCTTCCATACACCAAATATACTAGACCTATTGCTTATAGTATCTGAGATATGGACTTGACCACCAAAACTTAACCTTGTTCATTGATCCATGAAATGAGGTCGAGGTCAAGTGAAAACTGTCTGACGGGCATGAGGACCTTGCAAGGTACGCACATACCAAATATAGTTGAACTATTGCACATAGTATTAGAAAAAAAGACCAAAACTCAAAAACTTAACTTTGACCACTGAACCATGAAAATAAGGTCAAGGTCAGATGACAACTGCCCGCTAGACATGTACACCTTACAATCATTCCATACACCAAATATAGTAGACCTATGGCATACAGTATAAGAAAAACAGACCAAAACACAAAAACTTAACTATAACCACTGAACCATGAAAATGAGGTCAAGGTCAGATGACACCTGCCAGTTGGACATGTACACCTTACAGTCCTTCCATACACCGAATATACTAGACCTATTGCTTATAGTATCTGAGATATGGACTTGACCACCAAAACTTAACCTTGTTCACTGATCCATGAAATGAGGTCGAGGTCAAGTGAAAACTGTCTGACGGGCATGAGGACCTTGCAAGGTACGCACATACCAAATATAGTTATCTTATTACTTATAATAAGAGAGAATCTAACATTACAAAAAATCTGAACTTTTTTTTCAAGTAGTCACTGAACCATGAAAATGAGGTCAAGGACATTGGACATGTGACTGACGGAAACTTCGTAACATGAGGCATCCATATACAAAGTATGAAGCATCCAGACCTTCCACCTTCTAAAATATAAAGCTTTTAAGAAGTTAGCTAACGCCGCCGCCGCCGCCGTAGCCGCCGCCGCCGCCGGATCGCTATCCCTATGTCGAGCTTTCTGCGACAAAAGTCGCAGGCTCGACAAAAACAGACCAAAACACAAAAACTTAACACTGAGCAATGAACCTTGAAAATGAGGTCAAGGTCAAATAAAACCTGCGTGACTGCCAAATAGATCATAAAATATTTCCATACACCAAATATAGTTGAACTATTGCATATAGTATTAGAAAAAAAGACCAAAACTCAAAAAACTTAACTTTGACCACTGAACCATGAAAATGAGGTCATGGTCAGATGACACCTGCCCGCTAGAATGTACACCTTACAATCATTCCATACACCAAATATAGTAGACCTATGGCATACAGTATTAGAAAAACAGACCAAAACACAAAAACTTAACTATAACCACTGAACCATGAAAATGAGGTCAAGGTCAGATGACACCTGCCAGTTGGACATGTACACCTTACAGTCCTTCCATACACCGAATATACAAGACCTATTGCTTATAGTATCTGAGATATGGACTTGACCACCAAAACTTAACCTTGTTCACTGATCCATAAAATGAGGTCGAGGTCAAGTGAAAACTGTCTGACGGGCATGAGGACCTTGCAAGGTACGCACATACCAAATATAGTTGAACTATTGCATATAGTATTAGAAAAAAAGACCAAAACTCAAAAACTTAACTTTGACCACTGAACCATGAAAATGAGGTCAAGGTCAGATGACACCTGCCCGCTAGACATGTACACCTTACAATCATTCCATACACCAAATAAAGTAGACCTATGGCATACAGTATAAGAAAAACAGACCAAAACACAAAAACTTAACTATAACCACTGAACCATGAAAATGAGGTCAAGGTCAGATGACACCTGCCAGTTGGACATGTACACCTTACAGTCCTTCCATACACCGAATATACAAGACCTATTGCTTATAGCATCTGAGATATGGACTTGACCACCAAAACTTAACCTTGTTCACTGATCCATGAAATGAGGTTGAGGTCAAGTGAAAACTGTCTGACGGGCATGAGGACCTTGCAAGGTACGCACATACCAAATATAGTTATCCTATTACTTATAATAAGAGAGAATCTAACATTACAAAAAATCTGAACTTTTTTTTCAAGTAGTCACTGAACCATGAAAATGAGGTCAAGGACATTGGACATGTGACTGACGGAAACTTCGTAACATGAGGCATCCATATACAAAGTATGAAGCATCCAGACCTTCCACCTTCTAAAATATAAAGCTTTTAAGAAGTTAGCTAACGCCGCCGCCGCCGCCGCCGCCGCCGCCGGATCACTATCCCTATGTCGAGCTTTCTGCGACAAAAGTCGCAGGCTCGACAAAAACTAGCATTTTATAAATTTTGATAGCTTTTGGGTGTACAGCATTTCCTGAAATTACAATAGTAAATCTCACATTTTTCTACATCAATCAACAAGCTTTACAATTTTCTCTGCAATCACTCTCCAAACAAACTTCTTATTGTGACTCACTGCTGATATTTTCAAATATCTACATGCAGAAAACCTTAAAATCATACTTATAAAGTATGATCAAGAAGTGTGATAATAATATTACTGTAGATTCATTTATTTTCGTGGTTACTGATTTTTGTGGATTAAGGAAAAAATGTATTTTCGGATTATTTTTCGTGGATATTAGATTTTGTGCTTTTGCTTAAGTCTGTCCAATAGTCTGCATATAAGCCTATAGAAAATAAGAACTTTGTTGAGCATTTAAATTTTACAACTTACTCATCCAGCCTAGTATCTGGTATAGCCCTATCATACAACTTACTCATCCAGCCTAGTATCTGGTATAGCCCTATCATACAACTTACTCATCTAGCCTAGTATCTGGTATAGCCCTATCATACAACTTACTCATCCAGCCTAGTACCTGGTATAGCCCTATCATACAACTTACTCATCCAGCCTAGTACCTGGTATAGCCCTATCATACAACTTACTCATCCAGCCTAGTATCTGGTACAGCCCTATCATACAACTTACTCATCCAGCCTAGTATCTGGTATAGCCCTATCATACAACTTACTCATCCAGCCTAGTATCTGGTATAGCCCTATCATACAACTTACTCATCCAGCCTAGTATCTGGTATAGCCCTATCATACAACTTACTCATCCAGCCTAGTATCTGGTATAGCCCTATCCATTGCAATTTTATCACTGTTTACCATATTAAAACCATACTCTCTAACAGACTGGTCAGCCCTGAGTTTCTCTTCCATACTGGTATATACAGCCTGTCCACCTTCACCTGTATAAAAAAAAATGTTAAATTGTCCAAGTATTTTTTTTTGGATAGGGTAACAATTATAATTCTCTACCTAGCCCATGGTTTCATATAATTAAAGATAGAAGGAATTCCAAAAAAAAAAAAAAAATGGTAATTTTTATAATGAATTTTTTAAATTTGCAGTCCTGAAACTTGCCACCAACCCTGTGTTTTCCTATACACATGATATTGATTGTATATCTGTTACTGTCACCCAATGCATCTTACTCTCCAACAAAAGAATAACATGGCAGTGATTCATTAACAATTCATGGTCCCATCTCAGCAAAATACAGTACACTGATAAACAATGGGTGCCAGTCAATATCAGATTGACAGTGATCCATTAGTGTGAGATATGACCTTGTTAGTCTTTTGCAAATGGTTATAATCAGTTGCATTTGGTCAATGAGATGATGAGTAATTTCCCATTGCTATAAATTTGTTCAATGTACAGTCTTATAACAAAAATAATCAGGTGCCATTGTGTCAATACTCCAAATAAACTGCTAACACAGTTATGCAAATATTCAAAGTCAATGAACCATGACTGAAGGTACAGGGATAAACAATCTCCATGGAAATGAGATGTGCTAATGCTTATACAGCTGCATACCAAATACCATTGACTTATCATAAGCATTAGAACATCTCATTTCTATGGAGATTGTTTAACCCTGTACCTTCAGTCATGGTTCATTGGCTTTGAATACTTGCATAACTTACATGTTTAAGTATTGCTATTTTAATTTCAACATTTGCATTATCAAAATAACAAATAAACTGCTTCGCTTAGCACAGCTGGATACACCCGCAGAGGTCCAACCCTGAACAGTTGGGGCAAAAATGGACACAATATTCAAGCTTGATACGTCTGAATTTGGATTGTAACTAAATATTTGACATATTATAGGTTTCTGAATAAATGTAGTCAAAGAACTTGAAATTGGTTATATGAATTGAATTTATATTCAATTAAAAATTTCTTGCTGTTGTGCAATACACTATGCTGTTGCGCAATACTTAGTAAATCTGTTCTCAGACTATAAACAAATAAAATTTATAAAATTCTAAAGGGAGCTTACATCAATAGATATAATCAATTCACCAAAGTTTCATAAGAATTGCTGAAAGCATTTTTGAGTTATTGTCTAAAAACTGGAAAATCCTCCCTTTTTTAATGAATAAAACCACATAACTCGGAAATGTAAAATCTAAAATTTATAAAATTCTAAAGGGAGCTTACATCAATAGATATCAACAATTCATCAAAGTTTCATGAGAACTGCTGAAAGCATTTTTGAGTTATTGTCCGAAAACTGGAAAATCCCCCTTTTTTTTATGAATAAAACCCCGTAACTTGGAAACGTAAAATCTAAAATTTATAAAAATCAAAAGGGAGCTCATGTCAATAGATATAAACAATTAACCAAAATTTCTTGCAAGTTGGTGAAAGCATTCTTGAGTTATTGTCCGTAAAAACTGGAAAATCCCCCCTTTTCTAATGAATAAAACCCCATAACTCGGAAACGTATAATCTAAAATTTATAAAAAACGAAAGGGAGCTCACGTCAATAGATATAAACAATTCATCAAAGTTTTATGCAAATTGGTTAAAACGTTTTTGAGTTAATGTCCGACATGTTGACGACGGACAGACAGACGGACGGACAGACGGACAACGGTATACCATAATACCTCCCATAAATAGGCGTATAAAAAGTGAGACATATCTCTGTGTTAACAGTTTATTTGGAGTATTGACACAATGGCACCTGATTATGATTGTTATAAGACTATACATTGAACAAATTTTTTGAAACAGATGTCTCGCTTTTTGGCTCCGTCAAGGTGAGATAAAATGGGCATAGTCCCATAACTTCATTAATACTGTGACAAATCAAATATCTTAATAACGCGGCTCATGTCAGTTTTGTGTGTCAACTCCTCTGATAATTGAAATCAATATCAAGTTTTCAATATAAAAAAGGAACTTGTACTTATCTTGAATTGAATTGAATTGAATTGAGATATCCTTCACTAATAACAGGTATTTTTTTACTTTTAAACTCGGGGCACAGGAAGAGACTGAACTGCTTTAACTCATGGAAGATCTCATAATCTTCAATACAATTTTATTATAAAACCTACTTTTTCTTTAATACTGCTGTTACAATTCAATATTCAAAATACAGAACCTTTAGTCATCAATAACATGTCAAAGATTACTAATCTGAAGCACTTTTAGCTCTTTTTCTTTAAAGGTATTTACCTAAACTTAAAAGTTGTTTCACCACAATAAAATGTCTTTGCACTTATACGGCATAAAACAAAAAACACCAATCAATCAATTAAAAGTTGTTTTTCATGTCTAAGTAACTTACCTAGGCTACTTGTAGCTGGGTTTTCTTGTTTAAAGTATCTAATTAGAATAGGCGGTTTTCCCTTGTCTAAAATTTCTTATTTTGATCACTTTTTGCAGATTTTTCATTGGATATGTAACTTACGTAAAATACTTTTAGCTGTGTTTCCATTGTTTTAGGTTTACTAAATTCAATTGTATCCGAGTTTCTATAGTTTTAAGGTTTTACTTTAACCATGGAAGTAATATTGAAAGGAATAAGAACAATGTCAGTTGAAAGGTTTCATCTTCGTTACCGCCTATCTTTCGATTACTCGTTAATCAGTTTACGATATGGAATGGTAGTTGATTCTCCACATGTGGTCGATCAAATCACTGACACTTTTCGGTCGTTTTCGTGTTCATGGAAAATTACGAACAGACAAGTTGTTGTCGTATATACGTGCAAAGTAACCCGAATAGTCCACTCGTTACATCCTGCTGATGTACGCTGCCGAATAGAGTAATTCGTTCAATGTTGATTTTAGTCTAATTTTCCTATTTCTGTTTATTTCGATCTTAAAAAGTGGAGAACATGGGTGGATTGTTTTTAAATTTTAATATTTAGACAGTTACGACGCCATTTCTTAAAAATTTAAGAATATGATTGTACAAAAAATATGTTTGGACCCCCTTTTATTAAATATGAATAATCCAAGTCATGCGTGTATACCAGTCAATTAAAATATTCACAAACGTTTCTATTCTTTAAACTAATTCGTATAAATGAATTTGCGGTTAGGCAGATAGGGTCAAGCTCATTTTTCTGTTTGTTTTTATTTTTGCTGTAGCGTGTTATATTAACTGTATTAAAACACTTTTTTAAAATAGATATTTACGAACTTATTATCCCGATTTTAGTTGTCCAGTTTCAATAATGTAATCAATAACATTTATTACATATACATAAATTCAAAATACTTGCAAGTGAATATCCTTTTTTAAATCTTGATAAACTTTACACATTTCAATAGTAAATAAAATGCTTCGTTGAGCGCAGCCTGATACGACCGCAGAGGTCGAACCCTGAACAGTTGGGGCAAATTTGGACACAATATTCAAGCTCGATACTGTCTGAATTTGGATTGTGATCAAATTTTTGACATAATATAGGTTTCTGACACAAAATAAATGTGGTCAAAGATCTTATAAATCCATTGCCCAATACTGTGCAATTGAAGATTTCTTCTTGAAACTTTTCAAAAATTTGAAATTTTTAAAATTTTGTAAAAATATATGAATCCCTTAAAAAAAATGGGGGGAAAATCCCCCCCCCCCCCAACTTTTTGAAACCCCCTTGGAGCAATAACCCCAAAACTCAATCCCAGCCTTTCCTTTGTAGTATGGAACCTTGTAGTACAATTTCAGAGAGATCCATACACTTACACACAAGTTATTGTCTGGAAACTAGAAAAATGCTTGTTTTTGGCCCTTTTTAGGCCCCTAATTCCTACATAATTGGGGCAATTAACCCCAACCTCAATCCCAGCCTTCCCTTTGTTATATGGAACCTTGTGGTACAATGTCAGAGAGATCCATACACTTACACACTAGTTATTGTCTGGAAACTAGAAAAATGCTTGTTTTTTGCCCCTTTTTGGCCCTTAATTCCTAAACTGTTGGCCCCATAACCCCTTAAATGAATCCAAACCTTCTACTTGTGGTATTAAACATTGTGGTACAATTTCAGAGCAATAGAAATACTTATACACAAGTTATTATCCTGAAACTAGAAAAATGCTTGTTTTGGGCCCCTTTTTATGGCCCCTAATTCCTAAACGGTTTGGACCATCATCCCCAAAATCAATCCCAACCTTTCTTTTGTGGTATTAAACCTTCTTAAAAAATTTCATAGAGATCCATTTACTTAAACTAAAGTTATTGTCCGGAAACCAATGTGTCTTCGGACGACGACGCAGACGACGACGACATCATACCATTATACGATCCCAAAACATTTTTTGTGGTTGTATAAAAAATCTATGTCTTCATTTGTCTTCATTATTTTGTAATCATCATGTGAAACCTGATCGCTTCCTCGGTATTACCTGTTTTACTCAGGATCTGCTTTCAATCGGAAAATACTTTTAGATCAGGTAAAAAGCAAAAATATGCAAAAATAAATACAATTTTCCATGTTGAACTGCTGTAGTGTAAACAATTCTCGTCTGTTTTTCATGTTTTTTACATCAATCGATTTCTTTTTGAAGGTAGAAGTTTTATATGATACAGCGCCACCTTGTTAATTAATAAACTAGGATTTCACACAGGTGCTTTATGATTACCGTACTCGATAAAATCATGTGACTGATAAGAAATTCCAGATGCCATTTTACAACCGCTGTATCACAGATAGTAACCAAAGGGGTCTTGCCGCTGAGACTATAATTGGATAAAATCATATGACTTTAGTACAGAGCTCTGCATGCCGTTAATACATGCTTATTAGTCATTGTTATTCCTTTCAATATTACTTCCATGCTTTAACCATTTTTAGATGTGTTTCCTTTGTTTTATTGTATTACCTGAACACTTTTAGCTGGGTTTTCATTGTTTGAAGGTATTACCATAACCACTTTTAGATGAAACTTTAGTGCTTTTAGGTATTCCCAAAAACTTTTATCTCGGTTTTAATTTTTCAAGATATTGCCTGCACCTCTTTCAGGTGTTTTTGTCTCGGTTTTAATTTTTAAAAGATATTGCCTGCACCTCTTTCAGGTGTTTATGCCTTATCTTGTCTGAATGTTTCTTACTTGGGCAACTTTTAGCTGGTTTCTCATTGTGTGAAGGATAATTACCTGGACCACTTTTAGTTGGTTTCTCATTGTGTGAAGGATAATTACCTTGACCACTTTTAGTTAGTTTCTCATTGTGTGAAGGATAATTACCTGGACCACTTTTAGTTGGTTTATTATTTTGTAAAGGATAATTACCTGGACCACTTTTAGCTGGTTTATCATTGTGTGAAGGATAATTACCTGGACCACTTTTAGCTGTTTTATCATTGTGTGAAGGATAATTACCCGGACTACTTTTAGCTGGTTTATTATTTTGTGAAGGATAATTACCTGAGGCTCTTTTCACAAAAAATCTTATGAGAAAAAATACTCGTAAGTCATGAACATTTCAATATAACTTACGATCAATTTCAATCGTAAGATATTTTGTGAAAAGAGTTCCTGGACCACTTTTAGCTGGTTTATTATTTTGCGAAGGATAATTACCTGGACCACTTTTAGCTGGTTTCTCATTTTGTGAAGGATAATTACCTGGACCACTTTTAGCTGTTTCTCATTTTGTAAAGGATAATTACCTGGACCACTTTTAGCTGGTTTCTCATTTTGTGAAGGATAATTACCTGGATCACTTTTAGCTGGTTTATCATTTAGTGAAGGATAATTACCTGGACTACTTTTAGCTGGGTTATCATTTTGTAAAGGATAATTACCTGGACCACTTTTAGCTGATTTCTCATTTTGTAAAGGATAATTACCTGGACCACTTTTAGCTGGTTTTTCCTTGGGCTCAAAGTTACCCAATACACCTGGTTTTAGGACAGCAGTTGGTCCAAACTTCCTCTGTGGCTCTGGTGGCTTTAAATCTTTAGCCTCCATTGGATTTTCCACCACATTTTGTACCACATCATTTTTTACAGGAATTCCAGTATCATGATGAATTCCCTAAAGAAATCAGAATGTGCAAATCAATTAGTTAATTTTCCTGTTTTCATGAGAATAAGGAGACAAGTACCAACCAACCACAATTTTACTCTTAAGATTCTAGGTTTTAGTTTAATAGAAATAAGAAGATGTGGTATGAGTGCCAATGAGACAAATCTCCATCCAAGTCACAATGTGTTAAAAGTAAACAATTATACCGGTAGGTCAAAGTACCCCCTTCAACACAGAGCCTTGGCTCACACCGAACAGCAAGCTATAAAGGGCTAAAAAGACTAGTGTAAAACAATTCAAACAGGAAAACCAACGGTCTAATCTATATAAAAAAACAAGAAAGGCGAAACACTTATGAACCACATCAACAAACGACAACCACCGAACAACAGATACCTGACTTAGGACAGGTGCAAACAAATGCAGACGCCAACATTAATCCTAACCTGAAATAGTAGTGTAACATTACAACATAGAAAGACACACTATAAAATATGAATTGAAATGGCTTAACTCAATCAAAAAGACATATTAACAAAAACAAGTAAACATACACTGAACGAATAAATGTGATCTATGACACAATATAAACACAATATTAAATAAACTAGAGGCCCTCAAGCGCCTGTGTCGCTCACCTGATTCTACTTTGGTTTTGGAAATCATGTAAAAATAGATTAAAATCATAACCGATACCCTTATAATGATTGAGGCCAAATTTGGTTTAATATTGGCCCCGTAATTTAATCAAAAGCAGAAGACTTTTGTAAAGTTTACAAAAATTACCAATAAATTCATTGAAATTGTAGAAAATGACTTTATAAGGACAACAACTCCAACAAGATGTCAATTTTGCTCATGTTGACTTATGTGTAGATCTTCTTTCCTTGATATTTTTGCAGTTTACAGTAGATCTCAATCTATAAAGATACATGTATTTAGGTCTTCATCAGCACCTCATAAGGAACATTTATGCCATGTTTGGTTTCATTCCATTCAGTGCTCCTCTAGAAGAAGCATTTGTATGTATTTCCCAAAGGGTCTTATGTTAAACTAAGTCCCCTGCTAGCGGCCATCTTGGATGATGGTTGGGCTACAAAGTAACAACACTTGGTCAGCACCTCATTATGAACATTCATGCCATATTTGGTTTCATTCTATTCAGTGGTTCTCTAGAAGAAAACATTTGTATGTATTTCCAATAGGGTCTTATGTTAAACTTTCTCCCCCTGCTGGCAACCATCTTGGATGACAAATCAGCTACAAAGTAATAACACTTGGTCAGCACCTTAAAAGAAACATTCATACTATGTTTGGTTTCAATCCATTAAGCGGTTTTCTTGAAGAAGACATTTGTATACCGGTATATTTCCCATAGGGTCCTTTGTAACAACTCTTGGCCAGCACCTCATCAGGAACATTCATGCCATGTTTGGTTTCATTCCATTCAGTGGTTCTCTAAAAGAAGACATTTGTATGTATTGTCCATAGGGTCCTATGTTAAACTAAGTCCCCCTCTGGTGGCCATCTTGGATGATATATTGGCTTCAAAGTAACAACACTTGGTCAGCACCTCATAAGGAACATTCATACCATGTTTGGTTTAATTCCATTCAGTGGTTCTCTAAAAGCAGACATTTGTATGTATTGTCCATAGGGTCCTATGTTAAATGAAGTCCCCGTTGGCGGCCATCTTGTATGATGGATCGGCTAAAAAGTAACAACACTTGGTCAGGACCTCATAAGGAACATTCAAGTCATGTTTGGTTTCATTCCATTCAGTGGTTCTCTAGAAGAAGTTCAAAATGTAAAAAGTTAACGACGACGACGGATGCCAAGTGATGAGAAAAGCTCACTTGGCCCTTCGGGCCAGGTGAGCTAAAAAGGGGAGATGTAAAACAATGTCAAAAAGACAACTATAACCTTGGACAAAATGGCATTAAATAAAATAACGTACACAGGTAAATTTAAATATAATAATATTTTGTTGTTAGTACGGAAATATTTTTTACAAATTGATAAATTTGTTGTTCATAATACAAGAACAGAAGTGAAAATTTATCGTTATACTAAAAACTTATCAAAGGTGGTACATATTAACTAGAGGCTCTCAAGAGCCTGTGTCGCTCACCTGACTCTACTTTGGTTTTAGAAATCATGTAAAGATAGATAAAAATCATAACTGATACCCAAATAATGATTGAGGCCAAATTTGGATTAATATTGGTCCCGTTATTTAATAAAATATCCTGGTGGCCATCTTGAACAGTAAATCGGCAACAAAGTAGCAACACTTGGTCAGCACTTCATAAGGAACATTCATGCCATGTTTGGTTTCATTCCATTCAGTGGTACTCTAAAAGAAGACATTTGTATGTATTTCCCCTAGGGTCCTCTGTTAAACTAAGCCCCCCCCCTAGCGGCCATCTTGGATGATGGATCGACTGCAAAGTAACAACACTTGGTCGGCACCTCATAAGGAACATTCATGCCATGTTTGGTTCCATTCCATTCAGTGGTTCTCTAAAAGAAGACAATTGTATGTATTTCCCGTAGTGTCCTATGTTAAACTAAGTCCCCCGCTGTCTGCCATCTTGGATGATGGACCTACTGCAAAGTAACAACACTTGGTCAGCACCTCATTAGGAAAGTTCATGCCATGTTTGGTTTCATTCCATTCAGTGGTTCTCTAAAAGAAGACATTTGTATGTATTTCCCATAGGGTCCTATGTTAAACTAAGTCCCCCTCTGGTGGCCATCTTGGATGATGGACCGACTGCAAAGTTACAACACTTGGTCAGCACCTTGTAAGGAACATTCATGCTATGTTTTATTTCATTCCATTCAGTGGTTCTCTAAAAGAAGTCATTTGTATGCATTTCCCATAGTGTCCTATGTTAAACTAAGTCCCCCGCTGGCGGCCATCTTGGATGATGGATCGGCTACAAAGTAACCACACTTGGTCAGCACCTCCTAATGAACATTCAAGCTATGTTTTGTTTCATTCCATTCAGTGGTTCTCTAAAAGAAGTCATTTGTATGCATTTCCCATAGGGTCCTATGTTAAACTAAGTCCCTCACTGGCGGCCATTTTGGATGATGGAACAGCTACAAAGTAACAACACTTAGTCAGCACCTTGTAAGGAATATTCATGCTATGTTTTGTTACATTCCATTCACTGGTTCTCTAAAAGAAGTCATTTGTATGCATTTCCCATAGGGTCCTATGTTAAACTAAGTCCCCCGCTGGCGGCCATCTTGGATAATGGATCGGCTACAAAGTAACAAAACTTGGTCAGCACCTCCTAATGAACATTCATGCTATGTTTTGTTTCATTCCATTCAGTGGTTCTCTAAAAGAAGTCATTTGTATGCATTTCCCGTAGGGTCCTATGTTAAACTAAGTCCTTCACTGGCGGCCATTTTGGATGATGGAACAGCTACAAAGTAACAACACTTGGTCAGCACCTTGTAAGGAACATTCATGGTATGTTTTGTTTCATTCCATTCAGTGGTTCTCTAAAAGAAGTCATTTGTATGCATTTCCCATAGGGTCCTATGTTAAACTAAGTCCCCCGCTGGCGGCCATCTTGGATGATGGAACGGCTACAAAGTAACAACACTTGGTTAGCACCTCCTAATGAACATTCATGCTATGTTTTGTTACATTCCATTCAGTGGTTCTCTAAAAGAAGTCATTTGTATGCATTTCCCATAGGGTCCTATGTTAAACTAAGTCCCTCACTGGCGGCCATTTTGGATGATGGAACAGCTACAAAGTAACAACACTTGGTCAGCACCTTGTAAGGAACATTCATGCTATGTTTTGTTACATTCCATTCAGTGGTTCTCTAAAAGAAGTCATTTGTATGCATTTCCCATAGGGTCCTATGTTAAACTAAGTCTCCCGCTGGCGGCCATCTTGGATGATGGATCGGCTACAAAGTAACAACACTTGGTCAGCACCTCCTAATGAACATTCATGCTATGTTTTGTTTCATTCCATTCAGTGGTTCTCTAAAAGAAGTCATTTGTATGCATTTCCCGTAGGGTCCTATGTTAAACTAAGTCCTTCACTGGCGGCCATTTTGGATGATGGAACAGCTACAAAGTAACAACACTTGGTCAGCACCTTGTAAGGAACATTCATGCTATGTTTTGTTCCATTCCATTCAGTGGTTCTCTAAAAGAAGTCATTTGTATGCATTTCCCATAGGGTCCTATGTTAAACTAAGTCCCCCGCTGGCGGCCATCTTGGATGATGGATCGGCTACAAAGTAACAACACTTGGTTAGCACCTCCTAATGAACATTCATGCTATGTTTTGTTACATTCCATTCAGTGGTTCTCTAAAAGAAGTCATTTGTATGCATTTCCCATAGGGTCCTATGTTAAACTAAGTCCCTCACTGGCGGCCATTTTGGATGATGGAACAGCTACAAAGTAACAACACTTGGTCAGCACCTTGTAAGGAACATTCATGCTATGTTTTGTTACATTCCATTCAGTGGTTCTCTAAAAGAAGTCATTTGTATGCATTTCCCATAGGGTCCTATGTTAAACTAAGTCTCCCGCTGGCGGCCATCTTGGATGATGGATCGGCTACAAAGTAACAACACTTGGTCAGCACCTCCTAATGAACATTCATGCTATGTTTTGTTTCATTCCATTCAGTGGTTCTCTAAAAGAAGTCATTTGTATGCATTTCCCGTAGGGTCCTATGTTAATCTAAGTCCTTCACTGGCGGCCATTTTGGATGATGGAACAGCTACAAAGTAACAACACTTGGTCAGCACCTTGTAAGGAACATTCATGCTATGTTTTGTTCCATTCCATTCAGTGGTTCTCTAAAAGAAGTCATTTGTATGCATTTCCCATAGGGTCCTATGTTAAACTGAGTCCCCCGCTGGCGGCCATCTTGGATGATGGATCGGCTACAAAGTAACAACACTTGGTCAGCACCTCCTAATGAACATTCATGCTATGTTTTGTTTCATTCCATTCAGTGG